AAGCTTCGGCAAAAGAAACTTCCAAGTTTCGAAGTCGACTTCGAAGCTCCGGATCATTCGAAGCTTCGGAACTTCGAAGCTGCCGAAGAGTAACAGCCCTATTCGGAGCGAGTCGTCGGTCGAATTCTCCAGGGGATTTATCTGAGCTCGGCGGGAGCAACAAAGTACGATCGGATATAGTGTGTGTGTGTGTGTCTTATATTATTATATGTGCGTCACGGTGCGGATACCGCTCGAGTTAACTCGCCGCAGCACGCGACAGACGCAACGAGCCGTTCAATTGACTAATTACTACGGCCGGCGTGTGTGGTATGTAATACGATGTAATCGTTGATATGGTTCGAAAAGAGCCGCTCTTCCGGTCGTTGGAATCGGTTTTTCCCGCGGAGAGCGATCGAATCGCCGGAAAACCGCTCCCGGCTCGTCCGTCCGTCGATGTTCCCTCAGCGAGCACAGCTCGTTATCACGTGTTGTTTACCAAGTGTATTTCATTTGCCAAGTGTCGCTTTGCAATAACGAAATAATGCGAAGCAGCTCGATCGAGTTGCATAAGCGACACTAGTCGCTTATAGGAAGCCGACAGCGATGGTAATCGATAGAATATTCGCGCGGCAATTTGCGGGGCGAGATTCGCGGAACGAGAGTGCGGTCTTGTGTCTTCCCGGCGACGACGGCAATCTCACGCGAGAATCGTTGCAGTTAATTGCTGGATGATGATTCATTGCCCGCTGAGAATCGTTCACCTCGAATCCACCTCGCCGGACGAAACGCGCTTTTTTTAATCGTCGGTGGCTTTTAATCATCCGAAGAATCACGAAATGCTACGCTTTATGTAACTTTGTGCGCATCCAATTGCTCGGAGAGTAACATCTTCCCAGATTATTAGCGATCATCTAGTCGTGATTACCGCAGGAGTATCTCAAATTCAATCTCTCTCCATCGTGCAGGCTTCGCGTAACACATCTCCCGCGCTTAAATTTAACGTGTGTGCACACACATACAGACAGAAAGATTAATGAAGATCGGCGGAGCTCTCTTAATTACCTCATCGAGATTTCATCGGTATCAATTGTAAATCCGTGAGGTCAATAATGGTTTCTCCTTCCTTGTTTTCGCGCGGCTTTCAAATTGACGGAACTACTTTTCGTCGTTGACGAAGTCCCGAGGAGCGAGACGGAACGAGGCTTAAGCGCGTGTTTGTTCGACGCGAGAGTAAACCGCGCGTACAAATTACGTGCCCCGTAATATATCTTAATCTACCGACGACGAGATCGCACGCAGTCTGTAATCGCTCGCGCCGCCGATAAGAACGCGCGGGCGTAAACGTCGCAACGTGTTTCGCGGCTGATTCGCGCAGAGAGCAAATAAATAACAGTAAATCACGCCCGCCCCCATTGCTGTGTTTTCTGTCTCTATCTCGCTTTATGTATCTATTTGATAAATCACTTCGAGCTCTTTCACCATCAGTTCCTTCCTCTCTTCCCTTTCTCTCATTTCCTTTTCTCCGTATCTTTTTCTTTTTTCTCTCTGTTATGTCTAACAGATGAGTTGTTTCGAGACGACTTTAGTCACTTCAGACCTACTTACTTATTTCAGTTCTTTCGGTTATTTTAGATTATTTTTCTTTTATTTTACCTTATTGTCTTTCTTTCTTATTTTTTTTTTTTTTATAAAAAGTAAGAAGAAAAGTGCAGTGCCCATCGTACCGAGGGATCTCCATTTCGAAATGGAAAATATTCGTATTGTGGAATTTCGGCCAGGAAGAAAATCGCGACAAGTCGAACAATCGCGAGTCCCTTTGCTCCGTTTCGAAGTCAGCCGCGTGTCGCGCCACCTTCGTCGCGAAGCGCGCAACGAACGTAAACGTCGTTGCGGCGGCGTGGAAATGAGCGAAATTAAAGAAAACAAGACGCATAAGACGCGACGAGCACATGACTGCTCGGATTGATAACGGTAAACTCGTGACGGCGGGCCCGATAAAGCACCGAGTACGATTTAATCGGCCACTACTGGTCACAAACGTGTTCAGTTCTTCGCCGTCATGTCCGGGACGAGGAATTACGAGACGTTCGAAAGCAACAAGCCTGCACCGCTGCTCTCTGCGAAGTGAGTATTCGGCTGTCAAACGCCGCTTTTATCACTTCTCGTCGTCGTCGTTGTCGTCGTCGTTGTCGTCGTCGTCGTCGTCGTCGTCGTCGTCGTCGTCGTCGTCGTCGTCGTCGCCGCATTGTTGCCGTCATTCGCCGATAACCGCGATCTGAAACAGCGAAAAACATAGTCGCGGCTCTTTCACAATCTTTCTGCATATTCCCGATTTGGATAAGATAGAACGTCCACGTTCCGATAAATGTTTGTTGGTCAACATTGTTAAGCACGTCGACGGTGACTTCAAGGATTCGTTATCGCTTTTAATCTTATATTCGTACACGGAAAAGAAGTTGTGTAATTGAATGGAGATTTTTACTTTCTGCAAGAATATTTCTCTCTTTTTACAACTTCATTTTTGTCCGGCCTTCGGTTATGCTATATCGGAATTGCTTTTTTCGCGTATTTAAAAATACATTGCTACCTGAAATGTTTAAGAAAGACCCCCGGGGTACTCTAGGGAGTACTACATTCTGCTTCTGCGAAAAGCTTTCTTCGAAGAAAGCACTTGCATTGTTTTTCGCTATTAACAGCATCGGCTAGTTCGTTTGAGCGTGATATTTGGGACCTGATAGTTCGCCGTGTACGTGTGAATCACACCAAGAGGAGAGCTGCCGCGACTGCTATTTAATCGTGACAAACGTCATTACGAACGCGATTACGCTGTTTACTGAAGTTCTCATTAGTAGCGTAATCGTCCGCTCGAGTTATCGCTCCGTGTCCGCCTATTGCTTTTACCTATTGCGATTTTTGCGACGTCAGGCTCGCCGTTCTTGACTATTCAGTATTACTGGTCGTCGAGTGCATTAATAATTGGCTTGTTAATGGCTGACGCGGTCAGGAGACGTGACCAGAAAATAATCAAGTCCATGATTCAAACGATCGCTTGATTCTCACCTTCCGCTTCTGCGTAGCGTAGCGTTATTGTAAATTTCAGTTACGTGATAGTTCTTGTCGAATCCATATGTGTCTTTACTTCTTAGTAAAGTGGAGAATTTAATTCTTATTTTCTACTTCTCGTTTCTCACTTTCTCTCTCCTTCCCTCTCGCTCGTTCACTCGTTATAGTAGATAACATACCAGCAGAAACTAGCAGACTCGCGATAAAATGTCGCTTATAAATATTAAATGATCAGCTTGCTATTCCGTGAAATCGTATCTATCGTATATATCGTATAGCATTCTAATTATCATTTCTTCAAGTACGCATCCATTTTTCATTTTAATGCCGTTCTATCGTTGACTGACTAATCGCGGCTGTGTGTACGTCTTTCTTATTTTTCTTTTTTTGCAAAAACCGCTACGTGTGCATACTTGTGTGCATCCATATGCATTCGCAATTCCTTCCTTCTTTAATCCGGGAGCTTTAATCCGTCCGAACGCATTCTTGACTTTTACTTTTCAGTCTCTGTTGCTTTTTTGCGACGGATTCCTTCATCTGTCGCGTCGCAAGTCGCGTGCCGTGCGATTCACCGATAGCGAATACCGCACGACGTTGTATATCAGTCGCCGTAAATCCTTCGTCTTGTTTCCGAATAAACGTAAATAAAAAGAAACAAAAACGAAAAATATACGCACGTAGGAGAAGAGAGTCGCGCGCTGAGCAAGATATTTTTCTTCGCGCGCGCCATAACTTCTTTGCTCTTTTGGGGACAAACGGCTCGCCTAGTCTCGCTGATTAAAGTCACTAACGCTCCAATTTATGAGCTATTAACGGACGGATTTATCTCGTTTTGCGCAAACGTATGGGGAAACATTCAAATATTTCTCACTAGCGTTCCACGACGGGCAACAAACGTGACAATTTGACGCGTGATTATACAGCCACAACAAGATGTGGCACAATATTCTTCTTAAATAATAAGACAATCGGACGTATCGGTGATACCAAAGCTGACTCTGTTATATCGTTATCGATATAACAGTTGGAAGTAGATTATATTTTACCAGTCGATCATGGACAATTTCTTAATACTGTCACGCATTTCATTATCTCTACGTGTTTTCGGGAATATCGACCTTTAGTCTCCGTGACTTAATTATCACGCGTTTCATCTTACGATTTTATGTGACAATCGTGATTTTCAGAATCACGATTGGCTGTGCGATTGGATGTCGAAGAAGCATCTTTCCAGGGAGCGAGGTGTCGTCGTTAGAAGACAACGCACATGAGCGCGTACTTACGACGCTTTAACACGCGTAAGGCCTCTTTGGTCCCAAGCGCTTACAACTAAACCTTCCGTAACTAAAATCACGTAACTAAATATCTACGTTTCTCAACGCATACAACTATCGGTTAAACTTATCATCTTCCGCAATTGGCCGCTTATTGAATTCGCCAGGCGCGATCACGTTTCACCGGCGTAAATTAATGCGGCGCGACGATACGATACGAGCGCCGGTCATCGCCGTGCCGAATGACAAATCAGTGTTAATCTCTGTATTATTATGCGTTATACTTATGCGTCATATATTGCTCGTTATTAATTATATCCATCGTGTCATTCTCTAAGATTTGCTCTCACATCTACCGAACGATCTTCTCGCTTGCGCTGTTAACTTTCCTTCGCGTCCCTTTTGTCCCTCTTTCTTTCGGGGCAAAACGACGGGGCACGCGTACTCGTGCATAATTTCAGGCCGAGACGGCCCCCGAGACTTCGACTCTTCGATATCGCATCGCGAACGACATCGTTGTTCCATTTCGCTCGTTAACTTCCTCCTGGGACACGAGAGAGGAGATGCTAACCTTCTTCTCTCGGCGGACGGAATTCGCGCCGCGTGTCTCCTACTCCCGCGACCTTTTTCACGCGCGCTTTGCGCCTGCGCGCCGGGCACGTGTATAAAATATCGGCGGCTCGTAATCGCTAGTACACTCGCTCCGCGCGCACCGTGACGTACGCGGAGTGCCGTACTCGTGCCCATATCATTTGACTTTGCTCTTGACACACGTAGCAACACACTATAGAGTCCGTCCGTTTCTCCACGGCGGTGTTTACCACGAGGAAGCGCGATAAAGGCAAAAAGAAGAGAGAGAGAGAGAGAGAGACAGCTCGTACAAGTCGGATAAGTTGCTAACGAGAAGAGCGGAAAAAACGGCGGGGTCCATGCAGATGAATCGTCCGTGGAGAAAGACGCTTGTGGGCTTTTACGAAATCGGCCGCACAATCGGATTTTTCGGCTCTCTCTGAGAATAAGGGACTCGAGGATCCCGCATCCTCGAAGAAAAATCGCAATCGTCGAGAAAAAGGGGCCAAGAAGAGGCGCTCACGCGCGCGCGGGCGCGCGCACACGCACGCACGCACGATGAGCCGTAGACCCCGTCGTGATATAACATTGTGATCAGCGGACTGTGATATATACTTGTACATACGCATTGTATACCTCACTTTAACCTTACCTTACTTATCTTGCCGAGGAGCCCGAGGTCTTCCCCGCGGATAGCTTCGACCACACAGCGACTTGCGCATCATGGCAGAGTGAGTAGACACGTGTGTTATCAGTCCTTCGTCATTAGCTTCGCTCTATTTGTCCTGCGCCGCTCCTTTCCGCGTGTGTCGCCCGATGGCGACGACGTATGAATGTTTATGTCAATGTGAAAAGACGATTGTCGAGAGGCCGCCGATTGTGACTTGGATTCTGCGAAGAGACCTTCTTTCTCTCGACCGTCTTCCCGCTCGTCGTTTCCTCTCTTCCCGTCGTTTCAGTTTTTTTTTTTTTTTTTTTTTTTTTTTTTATGCGAAGGAGATATCCAAGTGCAGAAACAGAAAAAACAGGCTCCTCCTTGGCTTCTCCCTCTTGAGACGAGCGTATATCGCGCGATATCGGTGTAATCAGTCCCGGACCGTCGATAGCACGTGGCAGGCACGGCTCGGCCAGCGGCTCTCTTCGCGTTGGGAAAATCCGCGATTCACCGATCAGCCGTGATCAGCGAAAACGCCACGCACAGAACCTTGTGTTATTTGTTACCGTATCGCGCTCCGATTGTTCTCATGCTAATCGGTCAATGAAGATTCTCGCCTCCTCGTGGAAGTGAAAACGCCGGGCGAAGTTGAAGATTGACGTCGCGAAAACATGCAAGCGACGCGCGATCAACAAGTGCTCTGCTATTCCGAGCTGCTTGCAATTCCGGCTACGGTAGAACGGTAGAAACGACGTTCTGGCGCGTCATGCCGAGTAATACGCATACATTAGGTTGATACAAAAAATACATTATTTTTCTGTTAAATTAAATGTCCATCGAGAAGTTTCAGTATTCAAAAGAGAAAATTCTCCATTAAAATATATCGATTTAGTATCATTCATTTTTCATTCGTAAAAATTATTAATTCTTCGAGACTGAACAATTTCTGTTCTGCTTGGCGAACACGACAAGCCTTTAGCACCAATCTGATAAATAGATAGAACCTGATCAATATCATATCAGTATCAAAAGAGAAAATTCTCCATTAAAATATATCGATTTAGTATCATTCATTTTTCATTCGTAAAAATTATTAATTCTTCGAGACTGAACAATTTCTATTCTGTTTGGCGAACACGACAGATCTTTAGCACCAATCTAATAGAACCTAATCAAACGTCCTTCCTCATCCCTCCCTTTCTCTCTCACTCTCCTCACCTCGTTCACCTATTACACACGAGATATATGCACGAGCCAGAACAAATTCGATCTCGTTCGCCGTGACTTTTTCTCTTTCCAACTGTCGATCTGTGAGCTACGCCTGTGGGCGGCAAATCGAAGGATTTTTCAAACGAGAATGTCACACAGCTCTGGAAATGCAAACGCCCCGGTCTCTGTTCGTTCAACAACACGAGGACGTGTTCTCTTTGAGTGCGGCGCTCGATGTGAACCAAGTTACGCAATTGTATGCCGCGAATTATAATGTGAAAATAGAATGTGGCATAAAGAGGCTATAATCGAACGCGCAAAGAGAAAAAGGAACACGCGGCCTCTTCGTCGCCGTCATCAAGCGCATTTAGGACACGACGCGGTGGTGCGATATTTTTTAACAGCGCTGTTTTTTTATCGGAGTGAAAAAGCGAGGAATGACTCTTGATACGCTTGAAAAATTTTGCAGAGCGGTGCGAAAGACACAGCGAAGAAAAGGAGGGAGAAAAGAAAAATACGATCGACAGCGGGTCACGCGTAGAGTGTACGCGTGTTACAAATGATGCAATTAGTCTATTAATAACGCACCGGTTAATATCATCACTAATGAATGACTGGTGCTCGATTAGCTCGTTGCGATATATTGTCAATATTGCAATTACAGTACTGTCCTTGCTGCACACGCGTGCACGCATACTCCCGCATCGACGGGTAGTTGTCAACACGTATTAATGGGCATTTAACGATACGGAGCTATCTGATCTTTTGATTGTTGATCAAAGTAGTCGCGCGATTTTCGTGTCGAATGCTGCACGCTGCGGACATCGTGTCGGACATTTGTCAAATAAAATAGAAAATAAGATTACCGATGGATGATCATAGTGTTTACGAATAAATTGAACAATATGAGTCGGTATTTTGTAGATGTCTGGTGAAAATTTCCTGCGAGAATTTAGTAAGAGAATGACGTAACTTTTGTGTGCGTGTGCGGGCAACCTAACATTATTTATTTTCATCCGGCTATATATCAACTAGCTCGATAACACTCGGTCATCGAATACACTCTTAATATATTTATGCTTTTTATCATTTGATCCGATGAGGAAACGACGGATTGCATCTGCACGAGATAAGATTTTTTCAAATATAAAAAGAGAAGAAACAGTCGCGATAATTCCTGGCCTCGAACTTACTCGACGCGATCGATCTCGCGTCTGTCTTCCGTCAGAGAAACAATTTATTAGTCGCAAACGGCATCTCGAGATTCGAAATGCAGAATGCAAAGTGCAGAGAAGCACAATTTGACGACGACGACGACAAGGACGAAACGCGGCGTCGAGCCGCTTTCCGTCCAGTCCGTCACAACGATCGTCACAACGACACTATTGCGAGTTCTCGTGAGAAACGACATTTGTTCTTCCCCTTCATGAACGTAAATTAGTAATGATACGGTATTAGGCGATAATAATAAAGGGTCTGTATGTCGGCGGTGAACACGCGAACTCGTGACTCGTCGCCACACGGTGCGCTCACGGGAACGGGAGACATTCATCGCTATCGCGGACTTTGTGCTCGGCGATCGAAGGAAGGAACCCCTCGAAATCATTCGACGAATCGTTCCAAAAGTGGTGAGGTCGCAATATCGAGTGCTTTTTGGTATCTTGGGTATCACCCGGATATGTAGATATCCCGATGGTTATTATCTGGATACTCGAACGACAGACGCTCGGCCAGCTCGGATGCTTTACAAAATATTCAATTTTTACACGAAGATACGAAAGATGAAATGAATATCTGACAAAAATATTCACTTTTCTCTGGCGTTCGCTTGACACTTTTACACACAAACTCACGAGGAGGAGATATTTCTGGGAGAGAAAAAAGCGGAGTTCTGTGTTATAAAAATTTGTTTTACTTCCGCGGACACACACGAGTGATGCTACTTCGGTGCGCAACTAAGTTTCCGGGTTTTTTTTGATCAACGAAAAATGGAAAATTTCAAGAGAAATACAAAAAATGTCGTATTCAAAGTATCGTCCCTCGCTAGCTATTTTTGCCATTTTCGCCATCTCTCTGGCAATACATGAATACCGCGACGAATAAAACGACGCGTCTTTGGACCGAAACCATTCGTCCAACCAATTTTGCATTTGTTCGAAATTGGCCAAGTGTTGGCCAGCCAAGCCATGCGCCATCGACCGGAACAAGTGATAATCGGAAGAGGCCAGGTCTGGCGAATACGGCGGGTGCGGTAGCAGATCCCATTTCAGCGTTTCGATGGTGTCCTGGACGATGGAAGTGCGATGGCACGGAGCGTTGTCGTGCTGCAATATCACTCGTTCCATTCTGGCCGTTTTTCGAGCAATGCATGGTTCAAATTGATCAGTTGTTGTCGGTAGCGATGCCCATTGACAGTTTCGCCCGGCTTCTTTTCAGCAGCTCATAGTACACGATTCCTTTCTGGTCCCACCAAACGCAGAGCATTGTCTTCTTTCCGAAGCGATCTGGCCGTGCCGTCGATGTTGATGCTTCGCCAGGTGAAAGCCACGATTTTTTGCGTCTGGCATTCTCGAATATTTATATCCACTTCTCATCGCCAGTAACAATTCGATGCAGGAAACTCTTTCTTTCATGCCGCGAAAGCAAAATTTCGGAAGTGGCTCTTCGATTTTCCATCTGTCTCTCTCAGGCGGCACCCATTTTCCTTCCTTTTAAAATTTTCCCATGGCATGTAAATACGTTTGGAAATATCTTGGCGAGTCATGTTTAATGCCGCTCCGCAAGTTGATCTTGTGTTTGCGTATCATCTTTATCCAATAACGCTCGCAGATCGGCGTCCTCCGGCTTGTTTTTGGTCTTCCGGAGCGCTCCTTGTCCTCAGTGTCGAAATCGCCACTTCTGAAGCCACACTTTCAAACCAATCTTCACAGGTAGTTTTCGACGGTGCATGTTCGCCGTAGGCCTCCTCAAGCAAACGACGTGCTTCAGCTGCACTTTTTTTCAAGTTAAAGCAGAAAAGCAAAGCTTCCCGCAAATGCTGTTTATTTGGCGCGAAACTCGATATCTTGGTTGTTAGAAAAAATATTTTTGCGTTGCGATATGTGTTGGTATTACGACTGGTTATTGTTAACAGATGTCCAAGCTATAAAAAAAAACACAACTTCAGACACGTGTGTCGACTACATGTGTCGTTAGCGTCATCCATGTGTGAAACCCGGAAACTTAGTTGCGCACCTAGTAAAAGTATATTGCCTGTAAAAACACTCGATAAACAAGAGAGAGAGAGAGAGAGAGAGAGAGAGAGAGAGAGAGGGAGTGAGAGAGGGAACGTTGCGGTGCGAGCTTCCGACACACTTTTTCCGAACGTCGTCGCGCGGGAGACTCAGCTTCTTCATTTCGCGCTCCGGAAATATCTTCGATGATGCAACGCTGTATCGCGCGCAGAGTAACATTGAACTTCGGCAACCTCGACGCGACGTCGTGGACGCTGTCCGCGGACAAAGGCGAACAACGGAGTTGGTCTGTGGTATATAGTTTTTCCTGCACACGCGGAGCACACGTTGGCTGCCAGGATTACTCACGCTCTCGGGGAGATCACCGCGTGCAAAGTACGCTGGCGATCACGCGTTCACGCGTGTTGATCGGCTGATCGGTACCGAGGGCTCGTCAACACCGCAAACCCGAGTGTGTTATTTTGACGCTGTATAAGCTGCTAGCTTCCTTTATGCGTATCTTGCGCGTCTTAAATAACGTCGTTTAACGCGTTTAAACGCGTTAAGTGAAATATCGAAATGCATCAAATGACACAGTGATTTCAGACACGACAAGAAACGCGTGAAGAAAGCTTCAGCTTATACGTGTCAGAATAACACACTCGGGTTTGCAGTGAAGTCAAGCCGACCCTACAGCTTCGGGCACTCGCAGCCTCGACCACGCGGTCTCACGGCGTTTTACAATGTTGTTGTTTCTGCTACTGCTGTTGCTGTGAGACAGAAAAAGAGACAGTTTCACAGCCGCCAGTTTCGTCGGCGCGTCTTTGTATTTGCCTTCGTCGAAGCGGCGTGATGTAATTAGTCTATTAATACCAGGGATGTGTTCGCTCGCTCGCTCGCTCGCTCGTCCGTTCGTCCGATCGCCCGATCAAATACAATACTCACCTACAAGAAACGTAATTTGCATGCGCTTTATTGCACTTGAACCTTCGCCGATCGCGCGCGACGCGCGCATGCGCATGCGCATGGATCATAAAAGTATTCCGCGATTTCGTCGCGACTTCTCGTGGCTCGTGCCAATATTCACGAATTCGTTCTGGCACGGCCTGACGAATTATGCCAAGAACTTCCCAGAACGGATTGGAGACGACCGCATTTGCACGACTTATTCGGTCAGCTGATCGAGTCTCGTCCTTGGCTCCTCGAGACAGCCTGGTTTCATCACCTTCTCGCAAGTCTCGCAAGTCTGACAGCGAGAGGTCTTTATTCGCTGCTTATTTTTCTTGTTCAGAAATAAAAAGAAATCGCAATGGAATGGTATGTGCGGGCGGGCGGGCGGGCGGGCACGTTGCTTCGATGTTTCGCCTCGATAACGATGAGACGTTGATATCTGCGCGATAAAAAGTAATCGCGGAAAGGTGTTTCCTCGATTCGAAGCCGGAGCGACTGCCGTTTGGTCGCCGTTTGGTTCTTGCGCAGCGACAACGCCAGCTGTTCTAAATATTTTATATATGTATACACGATACGATAAAAAGCGTGTTTTGCTTTTCACGTGTTGTGTTTCTTTTTCACGACAGATCAGCCGATAATCCCTCTCTATAAATAAATTCCCGACATAATTATTTTTCATTCGTCGAGCGCGTGACAGTTTCGTCCGGTGGAAAGAGGAAGGATAAAACAAATATATTCTATTCCACAAAGTTCTGTCTCTCTCTCCTTATCATTTCGCTAATAAACTTGACCGAGAGGCCTCGGAAGAGGCCGGCAACATGTCGAATCAGTGACGATAAATTTCATGAGCCGTTCCATTTCCATATTCTTTATTCACGGCTGAAGGTGAGCCGTATGTTCGATTTGACCGCTTTGTTCCTCGCGGCCGAACGAACGCCGAACGTGAGGAAGTTTTGCGGAAAATTCCGACGCGGTGGGGACGCGGTTGAGACGCGATGGAAAACTCCTTGCGAAATCCCTCGTTCTAATTCGGTCGCCATCACCGAACGAGAAGCGGGTGAACCGTAAAACGCTGTTTTCGCTCGCTCGCGCAGCGCTCGCGATCGCGATCAGCACGTTCAAAGTCAAGGTACATAAGCGGAGAAATAAAAAATATCTGCAACACATATCCGCCCACGCACGAACGCGTGAATCATCATCTCGGAAGCGCTTTGTCTGTCACGGACGGCGACGCTTTCTGTTGACAAATGTCACTTTGGCAACGATAACTCGCGAACAACGCGAAGCACGTTGGCAGACGCTGTCTCGTAAATTTGCGAAGCGAAAACTTCTTTCTACCCCTTCCCCCCCCTCTCTATATTCCTTCGAAGACTGATATTAAATTTCTTTAGTTTAAAGATGAAGATCCTGTATGTGTGGGTCTCTCGACAAATGCATAAATATTCATGATCCTTCGTGATTCTCAATATCTCGAACCTGATTTGATTGTTATTAATTGAACTTAAGTAACTAAAAAAAAAATATATATATATATACAAATTTAATTCTTTTATTCTTAATGTAAACATATTACTATCTCGCTGTATTATGTTAGTCGAATATAGAAATATTGAAGCAAACGCAAACTACACTCGTAGGATCTTTGCTCGGAAATGACCGAATTTTCGCGGATCGATCGAACGAAACTGCCGAAAGTAATTCAAGGCCGCGGTTATGTAGTTTTCCTCGAAGATGAGTGAAGAGTTTTGAGTCATTCCTTTGACTTGAATGACTTTACATTTCTATTGCTCCAAAATTTACATAATCGCCGAAGTCGTTGATTTTACGTGAAACTTTGATGTCCCCGCTCTTCAGGAAAGAAGTTACACGATCGCTACTGAGAGGTAAAAAATTTTATCAAGTTTCGACGAAGGTAATTTGCGTTTAATTATACGAGACTCGACAGCTTGGCAAATGACCCAATCCGCTAGATTGGAGAATACGGCTGTCAGTCACGATTTCCGCTATGCAAATTTTGCTCTCGTCCGATCGGATTCGTGGCCACATTCTCGAGGACAGCTGTTTGCCTTTACCTTCATTTGCAAGCACTTAATGAAAGTGGCGAATTAGCCACTGGCGACGTACCGTCGCGGCGGGATCTCCGCAGGCGGGTGATCGCAGGTGCATCGCGAGAGTAAGAGTGGCTAACCTAAGGAAAGTTCACGGCTCGATCGCGCATGGTTGCGCAACGCGCGTGACATTCGCTGATAATTTGCTTTTGAACATTTTCGCCAATTACGCGGCACGACGATACGAACATGCGCGAGTACAAATTCCACGTGGAACGTATGGTTTTTTCAAGGACACGATGTCTCGGGTAAACAACAAGTTGCTGTACGTGTATTATCATCCGCTCTACCTTCGTTCCCGATAAAAAAAATAAACAAATACAAGCGCGGTGCGGAAGGATGTCGTGCGTATTATCACGAATTTACATAAAGTCTTACTGCGCGCGCGCGATCACTTCGTGCGATCGCTCACAATTCAATCGTCCTCTTTTCTTCTCTTCCTGTCTGTTCGGTTTTTGCTCATTACTATTTCCATGTCAAAGTCGCGACGGAGAAACATTGCGTGCGATAGAAACTCCGCGATACATTTAACTGTCGCGGAGTTAATTATCAGTGCATATTGTCTTTTACTTTGGGCCTCGTGCCATTTTCTCGTCACGCGACTGAAAATTTTTCTCCCGCCCCCCCCCCCCTCCCCGTTAATGAATAATTACCAAATTGCCAAGTTGCTGAGGTCAATACGCGCGACACATCGTTTTTTCGATTCGCCGTTTCTCATTGGCGAAACCCGGCGTGATCGCGTCGCTCATCGAGATGCGACCTTGCGATCTCCGCGGAAAACCGAGCCTAATTATCGCTCCTCTCCTTCGCCATCCTCGCGAGTCGGACGGAGCTACGCTCGTGACGTCCCGACAACAGTAAGGCTATTGTACGACGCTCGTAACTTACATTGTATCACGAAGTATATCGTGGTGCGCGAGTTCTTCGCGCCTATCTCGTCCGCACGATACGCCAATAAAAACGCGACTTTGCCGGGCAGCGAAGTACGTCGCTCGTCATCGACTATTCAACGCCGACTTCCTATATATTCGTGCCTTCGCGAGGTTCAAAGTTCCGACATTTCCCGCGAGTTATTCGTTCGTGAGTCATTCGGACGAAATTCGTTTCCTCCTCGACGACACACCGATAGCGAAAGCGCCTGTAAGTGTCTCGCCGTTCGGCGAGCTGTAAAAAGAAAAATAGGGTCGCTTTTAATTTTAGTATCATCATCGAGTCACGGGGGGCCAAACGGGGGGGTCGTCGCGAGAGCTCTGCCAGCGCGAGAGCTACAAAACTTTACGAGGATCGTTCTCGCGACTAATCGTTGCCGACGAACGATCGATCACTTCGTGCTTTTCTCCTATTCTTGCCGCGGAAAGTTTTCCAGACGGATGTTATGTTTCATAGTATCCGACATTCGTCGCGTTATTCGCGGGAAGCACAAATAATTGTTGTTATCTTTCTACCGGTTCGATATGTATAATAACAACGACGAGTAGTTATTTGTGTCGCTCATGCAAGATGCAACTTGTCGTTCGCCTCTTTTTTATCTTTTCTTTTTTTAGATAGAGACAAAGTTTATCGCGGAATCTTCGGAAAGATTTCGACGGGTGTCAAGTGACGAAAATTTCGACGAAGTTATCTGCTCGGCTCTAATTGACTTGCGCAAATACATCCTCGCGGAAACATACGTACATAACTTCGGTCGGTTGCATACACGATTCACGTGTCATCACGCTCGTCGTATCTTTATTATCGTCATCACCACGATGTGCAACAATAACCAATAAATAAGACGCCGTCGTTGAGTGACGAAAAGTCGCTAATTAGCATCGTTCGCGACGAGTGTGCTGTCGCTCTCGCCTGACGCAACGGCACACTCTGAATTATTATGAGCTCGCATCCGCGCGCGTGCACGCGATAACGCGTATCGCAAAACGCGTATATGCAAAAATCTGGCTTGTCACTTTGACTTCTATTTCCTTTCGCGCTCTTTTTCTTAATCGTCGTGACTCGACGGTTTCAATCCTGTGACGATCTCGTGTGATTCGCTTTATGTAACGACCTTCTTTTTTTTTGCTCCCACAGGAAGAATTGCGGTACACAGAACCCCGAGAAGACGTCGCTGGTGGACTCGGCGCTAGTTCCAAAATTCCAGCCATCCACGCTGCCGAATGACGAGAAAGCTGCAAACGGCAGCGACGCGCACGATGATCCCGAAGACGCACGACCGCTCAGAGGTAGCGCCGTCAGACAAGTCTTGGCCTCGCTGGTCGCCCAGCTCGGTACCATCAACACCGGCATGACCTTCGGCTTCTCTGCCATCGCCTTACCGCAACTTCAAGAGCCAAACAGCACCATTCCTATTACCGAAGGATCAACGGAGGAGTCGTGGATCGGTACGTAAAAGGAATAATGTTTTATTATTTTTTACTGCCTTGTCAACAGGAAACTTTTTCTATTATTTTCTTAATATATACTAGATATATTATTAATTTCAATTCTTTCGATTTTTTGCGATATTAACATTAATATTGTAAAGACAGAGAGAGAGAGAGGGAGAGAGAGAGAGAGAGAGAGAGAGGGTCCGCAAAAATATTAATTTTAATATTACCCCTCTCTCTCTCTCTCTCTCTCTCTCTCTCTCTCTCTCTCTCCCTCTTCTTTTAACGATAACACTGACACATAATGACGATGAGAAGAATAAGAGTTTTTCTTTCTCCTTTCTCAGCTAGTATGTCATCCATCGGCACACCGATCGGCTGCCTCATGTCCGGTTATATGATGGACATGTTCGGCAGGAAACGCTCACTCATCATCACCGAGATCCCGGCGCTTCTCGGCTGGCTGTTGATCGCCTTCGCCAGCGACATACGCATGATATACGCCGGCCGCTTCTTCGTAGGTCTCGGCTCAGGCATGGTAGGTGCACCGGCGCGCGTGTACACCAGCGAGGTGACGCAGCCGCACCTACGAGGCATGCTGACCGCGTTCTCGAGCGTCGGTGTCAGCACCGGGGTGCTGATCGAGTATGCGTTGGGCAGCGTACTCACATGGAATATTTGCGCCGCGATTAGCGGCATCCTACCTCTCACCGCCCTCCTGCTGATGTTCCTCTTCCCGGAGACGCCGTCTTACCTCATATCGCGCAGCAAGCCGGACCAGGCGAAGAAAGCGCTGCAAAAGTTCCGCGGCAGTACTTACAATGTAAATCAAGAGATGGAGACGTTATTGGAGTTCTCAAACAAGAACAACATTAAGCGGCTGACCGGTTTCCGGGAAATCGTTTGCGCCCTGCTAAAGCCGAACGCGCTCAAGCCGTTCACCCTGTTGTTCCTTTACTTCTTGATCTACCAGTGGTCGGGCACCAATGTCATCACCTTCTACGCCGTCGAGATCTTCAAGGATTCAGGCGCGAGCTTGAACAAATACCTGGCGGCTGTGATCCTCGGCCTAGTACGGCTCGGTTCTACCATCGTAGCTTGCGTCCTCTGCCGAAGATGCGGCAGACGACCGCTCACGATGGTGTCGTCCATCGGCTGCGGCCTCTCCATGGTCGGATTGGGCAGCTACATGTGGCTGAAGGATTACTGGACCACGAATGCGTTGCCGTTGGTCGCCACGTGGATCCCGGTGGCGTGTATATTCTCATATACGGTGGCTTGTACGTTAGGTTTCTTAGTGATACCGTGGATAATGATCGGCGAGGTCTATCCTGTACAAGTGCGTGGCATTATTGGCGGTTTAACCACCATGACGGCGCACTCGTTCGTCTTTATGGTGGTGAAGACTTATCCGTTCTTGGCCAGCTCGCTCACTCGCCACGGCACGTTCATCCTTTACGGCTGTATCTCGCTGCTCGGCACGATATACTTTTACATATGTCTTCCGGAAACCAAAGGTAGAACGTTACAAGAGATCGAGGATTACTTCTCTGGGAGGGGTGATACTTTGACGACAGGCAGGATAAGTAATAAGCCAAAGGTCCTGGAAATTAAGAAAGGCCAGATATTACCGTGAACGAAAGAGATCGCGATTCAAATTCGCTCTCGCGAATCGCGACGAGATCTTCGCTCGCTGTATGTTTATCTACGTGAAGCAGTTTGCCGTCGCTCAGGAGAGAAGAGAAGTCGCAGCATTTTCGCTCGTAGCGATTTAGCTTATTAGAACGAAGGGATAATGAAGTGTAAGGTATATATTAACTATCTCAATTGTCTTATTTCTTTTTTATAGAGGTTACGAAACAGGCAAAGTACTCAAAAGACTTGGACATTTATTACGTGACGTGAACATGTACATTAGAAGATAACGTAAAGTACGATAACGTTTCTGACGGAATCCGTCAGATGATGGAAGGCGCCATAAAGGGAATGTGCACACTATCGCTGCGAAATATTATAGAAACGCACTTACAGGAAGGAAAATATTACTGTTGTATATTTTATCGCGAAAGTGATTGTTTGTACATTTATAAAACCGCATGGAAAATGATTGGTTTCGTATATTGAGTTTCGAAACGGTTTGAACACTTCTAATGAAAGTACTTCTGGATATTAAGGAGAAATATTTCATTATATCTTATTGAATCATCTCTCGATTGTATATCATACTACAAACTTTAAAAAAACTATTCATACTATACATATTAAAACGTTTACATACTACATTAAAAAAAAAAAAAGTATTTCAACCGTTTTGAAACTCAGTGCGCAGATAAAGTCATCTTTAAGCGTTCTCATGACGTCGATCATGAATGTCGAATGTTCGTAGTGAGATGTTCCTCGTACAAAGTACGATACAAACGAGAATTCCGAATACGTGTCTCAAGTTCATTCGCGAAGAAATCAAACAAGAACGATTTCAAGAACGATAATGCAATCAACGGCGTATGCACAAACAAAGGTTTTAAAGGAAAATGGTGCTATTTATTGTATATTATAGTATTAAATTGTGTGACGTCTGTATGTGACGTGATGAACTGCAGTAACGAAAGTCCGGTAACGAAAACTGCGTAACGAAACTCCGGTGAAGAAAAGGTTCGTATACCTGCTGCCTCTCTCAGCACGAATAGTAAAATAATTATAATATAAGAATTAAATTTTAAACTTAATTAAAAGTGTTCTATATGCGTCGACGGAAAGCGGCTAAAATATTTCACCAGAATTAAATTGAATTCTCGAAAATATATTTATTGTAGAGCTCACAGTGTCATTCCTCCCATTGTCACAGGGTCAAAAACCTCAACTGACGCACTGTGCTTTTAAGAATGAGAGTAAAATTTCTTACATGTTATACTTGCAAAATGCCTTGACATTGTTACCTATAATAGGCGTTTAACGAATAAACATGTACGAATAGTATATATATTTTTTTATAAGCAAGCGAAGAGAGTAAATTATATACCGCTCGTTTAAAAAGCTCTTTATTTTTCTTTAAATCACCCCCTTTCGAGTCAACCAAATCATCCTAACACTTGTGTGTGTGAATTACAAAAGACCAATATAATTAATGTAGAATTAGAATTTTATTGATACAATGTATACATAGATAGTCAGACTATAGAGTTAAACGAGGTATGTTACGTTTGACTTCTCTTTTGGCTTTCTTTTCAGCCAGGAACCGTTTGATCATTTCGGGAGGTAAGATTTCACCTCTGTAAGTCCTTGGTATCCTTTCCTTGTTCAATATAGTGAGTCTTCTCTTGACATATTCTTTTGCGTCGAATGCTTGAGCTTCCTTAATTTTTGCAACCATCTCATTCTGAAATCTCTTTACTTTCTCGTAATTTCGTCTCTGTCTTAACTTCATCCACACAAATTTCATCTTCTTACGCAACTTCCTTCGCTTGTGCTTTTTTATTTTCTTACGTCTGATTACTATCAAACGAACTGCTTGCTTCTCAAAGTTATTCCCATTTGATGGTAAATCTATAGATGTTTGTGGTAAAGGAGGATCATATTGTACTGGTAAATTTTTTGTAGGTACTTGCAATGGAGGTATTCTTGTAACGGGTATTTCAATAATTTTTGGTGTTAATGGGCTGATTGGTACGTCAAGGTCTATATTGAGTGTTCCAGGTTTAAATTTGATATCATGTACTGCTATTACACTAGACGGTACACCACTGTCATTGCACATAAAGTGGGAAACATGAAGGTTTGAATGCTGCGACGAATAATACCTTACAATAGTAGTAGTAGTAGCAGCAGCAGTATCTGAAATGTTGCACAAATGTTTTCAATATACAAATACTCGAATAGCTGTTACTTTACTTATTAACAATTACAGTATGACTGTTAATATATTTTTGTTCATTTTTGTGCAGTAAAAGATATATGAAGCAGAGCTGATTAGAATGCATTAGGTTATGATTCAGTAGATTTCATGCATAGTTACATAAATATCAATTGCCAATATACTCACTTATCCTGTCAACTGCAAGTTTCCGAAATGCAGCACATAACGTATTGACTAACATTTTAATAGTTAGTTTAATTCACCTGCTGCTTTTAAACAGCGCACAACCTCAAAGGCCCATCTTTCTTAAAGAATCACTCGGGTTTCCTCGATTATACAATAATCTCAGATGACGACACCTTCGCGTTAAATGTGTTTTTCTTATTTGGGGGTAAATCAAAATAAATTGGTTTTATTTTATTTTGTCATTTATATGGTTCGTTACTCACGCAATTACGTTATTGAAAAATAAAAACATCCGATCTGTTCGATCTATTGCTGAATTGTATTTAAAAGTTAGGTTTGTCCGCTTCGCCATTGAGTTACACTACTACTGGAAAAGGCTGATTTATTATCGAGCGTATTACGACTTTGAGTCTTCATTGGAGACAGTAGAAGCTCGTAGCGAAGATTTTGAAACTAAAAATTAATATCATAGTCAAAAAAAAAAGAAAAGATAAAAAAGATGTTACAAATGCTACATTAAATACGATCAATAATTTATTCAATACCGAATAGTTACAAAAAAAAAAGATTAAAAATAAAATAAAAATATAGAAGTTATACGTAACACTTGGAAACTGTGTTTGATACTAAATTAGTATTAACCAAATATTATAACAACCAGACTATTAAAAATTATTAAAAACAGAAGGTAGACGATTAAAATCAGTAAATTAGATATAAGATCACTGAATGATCTTGTAAGTTTTTGTTTACATTTATTAAACTTAATTACAATAATAATTATGAAAGTCTTGCCGCATATATCAATGTAAAAAGAGAATTGTATTTAATCCATTCGTGTCTTGATGGTTCTCTTTGTTACTTTATCTTTCTCTCTGCAAGTAAAACATGTACATTTGTACCATGTATACAACTGTGTATGACATATTATTAAAATATTCAAAAATCTTGTTACTGATTTAATATATCATTCGATTTATATAGTCATACTTACATAATATAAACAACAGCACCCCATCCAGATATCGCGTCTCTGTCAAACGCATTAACCAAGGCCTGACTGATTGTTTCAAACAGATCCTCAGGTCCTAAGTCTGGTTCATAAAGCGACTCGCACATACCATAAAGCTGCTCTGTACACGTACCACCTACTACAAAATCCTCAGCTATGTTTCTGGATCCTATCAGGTCCATATTGCAGATGAATGGTTCAGATGTTACTGGATCTAAGCCAGCTACTATGGGTTCTACAAAGTATGGTCCAAATCTCCTCTCATATAATAAATTCGAGATCATAGCAGTGAATGTTTTTGGATGGATCTTTCTGTTCTCTTTCAGTTCATAAAGATTCAGACGAAAGCGTAGCCTCTCCATGACGGTCTGAGTGTCGCTGGCAAGTCCAGGCAGACTGACATACAAGTGCGATCCCATCTCGTAAATCTTCTGGAAGTCGCACATTATTGTCTGAGCTTGTATACCGAATCTACGATCCGCTGCTATAGCCACACAGTTCTTGCCCTTCATGGCTATCACAGCACCACCATTGTACGCGAGAATACTCTGCAAAAGAGATGCGGTATATTGAAATGTGCAATAGCAATATATAAAGCTGCAAGATTATCGTTATTGGCTCATATTTTGCACATTTACCGCGAAACGTGCAATATCATTCTCACACAGTTGACAGTAATATAACCTGCAGTATCAAACTGTTTGGTAAAACAATATACCATAAGCGAAAAACAGAATTTTCCTCGGACCGATAAAATACGCGAGAAATATTCTTTAGTAGGCAAATATACGCACCATTCTTCTCTTACGCGGATATCTGACGTGAATTCACGATATCCAAAATTATCACCGTTAATCGCTCGAGCAACTCGGAGACGCGTCGAAGTGCGAGTCACGACCATAAATAATAAGCAACATGAAAGAGTGGTATCAACGAGTTACAAAGTCGGTTGCTCTTGTGGCTATTTTTACCAAATTGCAATTAAACTAACCGTTTTAATAACTTTGCAGGATTCCAACTGAAGCCACTTGGCTTCTATAAGAAAAAAAAAAAAAAAGAAAAAATATAGAAAATGAAAAACAAAGCAGTAACTTCGGTTAAAATTCTGCAGGTTACTAAAACGGTTTGTTCGACCGAGCTTGTTAAAAGAGCTTGTTAAAAGAGTGATTCTGAATCCTATGAGATGATAACGGTCTTCATTGATAGGTCTGTCCTTTTTGGAAAGACTTTTGAACCAGTGTGATAATTTCTCATTCGGTGCCAACAACTTCAACAGGCCTACCTGCAGATGTCTCTCGCGAAAGAGCCGCCGCCGAGATTACCAACTCACACGCCACTCGGAAAAAGGTGAAAAGGATAGTCAACATATATCCGTATTCATAGTCAGGCCTTATATTTGAGGCCTCCTTATATCCATCTTTAGATGCTGCACGGGTTATTTTATTGGCTACAGACCATCTGAAGAGAAACTTAAGGAGGCCTCAAATATAAGGCCTGACTATAAATACGGGTATTAGGGCCAGAGCACAGACTTCTGCATAACGCGTAATACACAACGCATAACAGAATCAACAAATCAGAGTTCTTCATTTCTGTCCTGAGGAGGGAAATGAAGAAAACTAATTGGTTCATTCTCTTATGCGTTATATATGTTATGCAAAAGCCTGTGCTCTTGCCCTTACTGCCAACACTGAAATATATAGTATACGTAACACAAACTATGTATTTTCAGTACTGGCAGTGAATATTGGAACGCAGCCTAGGTATACTATATACATGTCTATGGTATTTAAATATGGCCGTGTGATGTTATTGAGGAATTCGCGAGTCGACACGGTGAGAGTATTGCGTGTTCGCGAGGGAGAACGAGGGAAGAGTGAGAGAGAGAGAGAGAGAAAGAGAGAGAGAGAGAGAGAAAGAGAGAGAATGAGAGAGTGAGTGAGAGAGTGAGTGAGTGAGTGAATGAGGGAGAGAGTGAGAGAGAAAGAAAAGGCGATACATCGTATCGTGAGAGGATAGGGAAAGGGCGGACAAGAAAACGATCGTCGTGGCCGTCAAGCGGATAAATCGGAGAGCGCAAAGTTGTGTGTGACAGTGAAGGAGCATAGCGACCTGAGGACAACACGAGCGACGGACAGACGAACAGACGAACGGACGAACAGACAGACAGACAGACGGACGGACAGACGAGCGGGCGACGGTGACTACGAAAAATGCGTTCGATCGCGACGAGTCATCGTGAGTGTCATGCATCTCGCAGCAGGGAATGACTTGCGCCCCCGCCCCAAAAATAAGCGGCCCAGTACGATTCGTCATTGCGGTGGCTGAGGAGAGCACGATCGGCGATCCGCTCTCTCGCGACGCGGCTCTGACCTCCTCCGCCTCGCAGGCCACGGCGGGCCAGCAGCCATCGGCGGCAGTGATCCGGAATCTCCCGTGCGTGACTTTTTGGTTAGTGGTTAAGTGTACGACCATCTGGCTGCGATCCACTGTGCGAGCCACAGCCAATAGTCAGCTGTGCGGTGCTCGCTAATAGTGAGGACGCGCGCGCGCGCGTGTGCGAGAGACGCGATAAAGTGCGTGCTCATGTGACGACGTTAACTCCCGTCACATCGTCGTCGTCGTCGTCGTCGTCGTTGGTTATCTCGGGAATAACTCTCCTCCGCGTTCTAATCGATATTTCGCAATACGGGTATAATAGCAGCGGCCGTTCAACGTGAGAGCGCGTCGAACGCGTTTTGCTCGGTGCGTGAGAGCGCGCGCGCGCACGCACGCACGCACCACACATGCACGCACGCACGCACGCATTTTCACGTCTCAGCTCTCAGCGGCGAAAGCGTGTGTGCGCCATTAAAGCGATGTGTGCCTGCGAGTTTGAACTTTAAACGTTCAAGCGAGCACGAGCGAGTACGGCTCAGCTGCTGGTGGTGTGATCGTCGTCGCGCGTGTGCACGAGATCGTGGATCGTTATTGTGTATTCGGGCTTCCGTAGCGCGGACTCGCGCAAAAGAAGCGTCCCCTTTCCATGTAAATTCGCCGCCGCCGCCGCCGCGCACGGCACACGAACGTGCAGACTGAACCGGTGGGGAAAATTAGAGCGGCCATGAAACTCACGCGCGTGTGGTGTATTTTACTTTTATGTTATTTTTAAACCGATGATATACAAAACACACGCGAACGAACAAAGCGAACTGTAAACTCTCGGTCTTGCCGTGTGCGCTCTGTGAAGATTATTCTCGGATCTCACCTTCGGTATATAATTTTTTGCTCGAGCCACGAAATTTCGATATTTTTTTTCAAACAAGTCGAACTTGCCGATTACACTCAAGCTTGCTTCACTCAAGTGTCATTTGATTTGTAGATATCTTACCGTAAATGTCACTTTGCAGGTTTTGTAACGTTAGGTACTCGCAGAATTAGGTGCTTGTCAATATTTAGATCAAGTAACTGACCAGTGTGTGTGTGTGTGTGTATTAAAGGGAAGAATGTCACTGAAACCTAAGAAAGTAGACTTCACTCAGACCTGGGATGTACTGCAAGAGACTGTAAGAGGAGTAATAACATTAGCAAATGTCTCGAGAGCTACATGGAACGACAGGTTTAGGTAGGATTGAACGGAATTATTTACTCGGTTCTTGCTTCATCGATGGGAGGAGACTTGATATACGTTACAATTGCAGTGACGTCTATTCTCTGTGCGTTGCGTATCCTGAGCCACTGGCAGACCGTTTGTACAACGAGACAAAGAGGTTTCTGGACAACCATGTCTTCCAGTTATTGACAGAGGTCCGTGCCCAGGGCGAGTCGAATCTGCTTCAGGCGTATCATCGAGCCTGGACAGAGTATTCGCAGGGCATCAACTACTTACATCGCTTGTATCTATATCTCAATCAACAACACATCAAGAAGCAGAAGCTGTCAGAGGCGGAGCTCATCTATGGCACATCTTCCTCCATGGCAGTCGACTATCAGGAGCAGATGGAGATCGGCGAATTGGGTCTCGACATATGGAAGAGGAAGATGATAACCCCTCTTCGGGATTCACTTGTTTCTCTTCTACTCGAGAGTATTCAGGCAGACAGGAACGGGGAGGCTCAGCCTGTCACCACCGACGTGATTTGCGGTGTTATACAGAGCTTCGTGCGGGTAGAAGAATATAAATTGAAAGGACAATTAGATGTAATTCTCGTTTTGTATTCGCATGTCGTTTTCCTCATTTCTCCGTGACGCGTTTTTGCTAAATTGAATGCTATTTTTCGGTCAGATGTATCAAGAAATTTTCGAGGGTCCCTTTTTGGAAGCGAGCGGTGAATTTTACTCTGCAGAAGCGTGGGATTTGCTACTACAATTAGACGTCACACGTTACATGGAACGAGTTACGTGGAGACTCAGCCAAGAGGAATTGCGTGCGCATAAGTACCTTCACTCGAGTTCCGTACCAAAGGTACGTTCCCTCGCGTGTGAACGCGAGTTAGAGACTCAGTGACGTCGGGGACGATGATACGATAACGATGTCTTTCAGGTGAGAGCATGTTGCGAAGATAAGATGGTGAATGCACAGGCCAGTTGGCTGCACACGGAAGCGAAAGCCATGATAGAGAATGAACGCAGGCGAGACTTGTCCCTTCTGTATCCGCTGTTGAAGCCTCTACCGTCGGGTTTAAGTCCACTTGTACAAAAACTCACTCAGCACATCACGCAGCAGGGATTGCAAGCGATTGGACCTTTGCAGGGGGAAAATGTGAGCGGCCACATAGCGGTCGAATGACCGCTGAATCACCACGCGGTAAATGTGATAGTGGTGTGAGGAAACTATATATACGTCTCTACTTTCAGGTATATACGCAGTTTGTGGAAAGCATACTGGACGTACATTCTAAGTATTCAGAATTGATCAAAGATGTGTTCAAGGCGGATCAGAGTTTTGTGGGTGCCCTTGACAAAGCTTGCTCCGCGGTCGTGAATTATAGACCTGTGCCGAGGCAACCGGCGCGAGCGCCCGAACTGGTAATTGCGCTAGAAATTCAATTTATATTCGTTAGAAGTTGAATTGGGATTCATTGGGAAGCGACTGATCATTATTTCTTGTGATGCTATGTCTCTCTCTCTCTCTCTCTCTCTCTCTCTCTCTCTCTCTCTCTCTCTCACTCACTCACTCACTCACTCACTCACTCACTCACTCACTCACTCACTCACTCACTCACTCACTCACTCACTCACTCACTCACTCACTCCCACTCACTCACTCACTCACTCACTCACTCACTCACTCACTCACTCACTCACTCACTCACTCACTCACTCACTCACTCACTCACTCACTCACTCACTCACTCACTCACTCACTCACTCACTCACTCACTCACTCACTCACTCACTCACTCACTCACTCACTCACTCACTCACTCACTCACTCCACTCACTCACTCACTCACTCACTCCACTCACTCACTCACTCACTCACTCACTCACTCACTCACTCACTCACTCACTCACTCACTCACTCACCTCACTCACTCACTCACTCACTCCACTCACTCACTCACTCACTCACTCACTCACTCACTCACTCACTCACTCACTCACTCACTCACTCACTCACTCACTCACTCACTCACTCACTCACTCACTTTTTCTGCAAATAATTACGATGTAATCATTTCCACTTAGCTGGCCAAGTATTGCGATTCTTTGCTGAAGAAATCGGCCAAAGCTGCTTCCGAAAGCGAGATCGAAGAGAAGTTGGCGCGCTCCATCACCGTATTCAAATACGTAGACGACAAGGACGTGTTTCAAAAGTTCTATGCGCGTATGTTGGCGAAACGGTTGATACATCAGCAATCTCAGTCGATGGACGCCGAGGAAGTGATGATCGATCGTCTGAAGCAGGCTTGTGGCTACGAGTTTACAAATAAACTGCACCGTATGTTCACCGACATGTCCGTATCGGCGGACCTAAACGCAAAGTTCACGACGACCTTGCGCGAGGGTGATCGGGAGAATCAACTAGGTATCGGTTTCGTGGTCTACGTTTTACAGGCGGGCGCTTGGCCGCTCGGCCTACCGCCGTCGCCAGGGCCATTTCATGTGCCGCAGCAGTTGGAGAAGTCTGTTCAAGCTTTCGAGACGTTTTATCACGCGCAGTTCAGCGGACGGAAGCTAACATGGCTCCACCATCTGTGTCAAGGGGAATTAAAGTTCAATTACCTGAAGAAGTCGTATTTGGTGACCGTGCAGACGTATCAGATGGCATTGCTGCTTCTGTTTGAGCACTGCGACGCGATCCAATGCAAAGAGGCTGCTGCATCTCTGCGCCTGTCGCACGATCAGTTGGTGAAACACGCCGCGAGCCTCGTAGACTGTAAGATTCTCATGAAATCAACGGACGGTGAACTTGAAGAAGACACCGTGCTCACGCTCAATTTCGATTACTACAACAAGAGAACCAAATTCCGCGTGACCGGCGCGCTGCAACGAGACGCGCCACACGACGCGGAGGCCACGCATCGCAGCGTGGACGACGATAGAAAATTGTACCTGCAAGCAGCCATAGTTCGCATCATGAAAAGTCGCAAACTGTTGAGACACAATCTACTTGTACAGGAGGTAAATTAGTCTCTCCCTCTTTCTTTTTTTTTTTCTTGCTTGTACAGTCGGTACAGCGGATCACACACTACGGATTTTTCGACGAATTTCGCAATGTATTCTTCATCAAACAAGATCGATATTCCTGCTGCCAAATGCTGGCAAATGTGCGTCCTGAAGCGAGATCGAGAGATGTGGCATTCTAACGCTTAACCGTGTCATTTCAGGTGCTGAGTCAATCAAGAGTCACGTTCGCACCTTCTATCGGAATGATCAAGAAGTGCATCGAGGCCCTCATAGATAAACAATACATTGAGCGTACAGCAAATAGCGCGGACGAGTATTCATATGTCGCGTAACCTTCTAACATCTGTCATATTAATTTATTTCACTCGAGATGCGTCCCACAGACAATTCGCTGAGAAAATATCAAAGCTCCGATCGGCCACGGTGTCACCACAAGTGAATGAAATTTTACCTTCAGCAATCGATATCACATTTCTTTCTCGACACAATGAATTTTGAAGAAAAGAGGAGAAAGGACAGTAAGACTCCGTGTCAATGAAAGTTCCGCAGAAAGCGAATCTCAAATAGTATAATGAAAGATCGGGAAGAGCATCTTAGAAGACCGCTTATTTGCTCTTTAGATGGACCGAGATTAATATCTTAGTTGATTTAATGACTTGTAATATATGCACACTAAATAAAGATGATGTTACTATTTTATATCGGAGTAACATGTTGCGCAGAGAGAGTAATTTTATACAATACGAATTCATTGCGTCCCTCCAAGACAAGGAGAATCCATTTAATTTTCTCTCTTCTCGAGTAGCTCGGTATATCTACATATGGTTTCCTTACAAAATTTACATAACCGATATTCTTAATTCTCCGAAGTTGCGATCACGGTGCGATCTCGCCGACCGATCTCATTCGCACGCAATATTTATAATGTAAGGCCGCACTTGTGTTTCTTAAATTGCATAACGTCCCATCGTCATATATATATATATATATATATATATATATATATATATATATATATATCTTTATACACCAAACGTTGAACGTAAAAGTCTCGCAGTGTCTCTTATTCTTCGAAATACATCTCGTCTCGTTTATGAGGTAAACATTCTGTGAACATGTTATACTTCGCAGTGAACGATATTTTTGTTTCAAATTACAATTATTGCATGTTACTTTATACTACGTTTTGGAAATCACAATCGTAATTCCTCCGAGAAATCTAGCATCATGCTGTGTATGTGTACATCTGTTCTTAACATTATTAGGAACGTGGCGGTTTCAATTGTAATAATTCCGGATCGAGCAGCGGATTGTTGTCGGCTTCTGCCTCCGACGGTTTGTTCATGTTGCTCGCGATAAGAGAAGACGTGCTGTCCGTGTTGTTGTACGGAGAGAAACCCGCCCACTCCATGCCGAGGTAGATGGGAGGAGGACTGCAAGGTGACTCCAGCAGCAGGTGGTCCGGTTGTTGCTGCGGTTGTTGCTGCTGCTGTTGCTGTTGCTGCTGCTGCTGCTGTTGCTGCTGCTGCTGCTGCTGCTGCTGCTGCACCACCTCCGTACAGTCCGACGGTGGCAAATGCGACGTCATGTGAGTCGCAATTTTACATTGCTTCTCCTGCTTGCGCCACTTGGCTCTTCTGTTTTGAAACCAGACCTGTTCCCCGTCGAGAGTAAATTACAGTCGCGTGAATGCTTCCAATTAGACGATTAGAGTCCCGAATGTGTTGAATGCGCGTAAGAGAGACATGCAGTCATTACTTGTACTCTAGCTTCCGTCAATTGGATACGAACTGCCAGCTCTTCGCGGAAGAACACGTCGGGATAATGGGTCTTCTGAAAGGCGCGCTCCAGCTCCTCCAGCTGGAAATTGGAAAACGTAGTACGGTACCTGCGCTGCTTCCTCTTGCCAATCACACAGGACGGTCTCTCCTCGCTCTCAGGACTGGTCGAGAAGTCGTACGCTACAAGAGGAGACAGCTCGTTTATTCGAGCCGACACCTGCGGCCCGGTGTGGGACAAGATACACGAACAGTATTTTCTCAATGGAGGACATCAGCCGTGTCATCCACATCGAGTCCAGGGAGTTTGCAAAGACATAAGCGCCTACATCAGCTGATATCTTAATACCAAGAGGGAAAGTACCCAACACACAACTCCTTCGTCAGATTTCAATCTGGTGGTGTCGCGTCACGCAGCAGACAAGCAGCAAACGCTTCATAACTTAAACTGATTACCGCTAACTTTATTTAAGAAAAAGGGTCGGCGATCCGCTTAATGCATTTAGCAATAACTTAATTGAGCAACACCACCCCAACTTGGGATAGACCAACGGGTGTGTCCGGCAGGGTCGGTAGACAGACAGACAGAGAGAGAGAGAGAGAGAGAGAGAGAGAGAGGCAGTTAATTAAATCAATCAGGTTCCGGGCCCGTCCACGGCCAGCCAAGCAGCCAGTGTGTGTGTGTGTCGTCGTGTACTCACTGAATTTCGTCGGGAAGCAGACCGAGCTGGATTGCGCGCCGATCAGACCGGCCAAGGCAGTCGACTGCAGATCGTCACCCTGGCTGATGTCGTCGGGAACACTTGCTGATGCTACGATCGCGCCGGCCGACACCAGCGGGTCGCGCGGGGTCGCACCGCCGACCAAGAACAGCTGCTTGCTGCTCTCGTTACCGCTCTCGTCTTCCTCGTTCAGATTCATGCTGCGCGAGTTGCTCCGCGTCGAGGGTGAACCGATCGGTCGTCGATGGTTCGACTTGTAATTCAATTAATCGGCGCGACACACGAATGTCGAGCCGATGTGCGACGGCGACGAGAACACTTGCTTTACATTCGAGCCGATCACGCGCGGCAACTCCGACGTTTCCTTCCGTCGTTTTCTTCACTTTTTTTTCTTACACCTGCACGACGCAGATAGGGTAGGGGACAGAGCGTACTCGACGTGAGCTCTCCCCCAAGGGGGATAGTGAAGCCTAAAAAATGTGTTGCTTGTACACCGCGAATCAATAGCGCGCGACGAAAAAAAGTTGCGGGCTTCTTTCTTTCTCTCTCTCTCTCTCTCTCTCTCTCTCTCTCTCTCTCTCTCTCTCTCTCTCTCCGGATAGTGAACGCACGTTCCTCGCGACGACGAGTCGTGTCTTCGTGACTCACGATTATGTTTCTTTATGATTTCGCAGCTGGTGCATCCGCACAGCGAGCCCCGATGACTCCCCGGTGACATGATTCGGCAATCTTACGCACGCTGGGAAGTTATAAATTAACAAGTAAAACAATCGTGATAACAACTACATTATATTTGTTATAGAAATGTTACAATTCTTAACGGTATCGACAGATTACATCGAAATGAAACACGCAGAAGATGTAACTTTGCAAAATTTATTGCTTGCGGTGTGGTGTATCACAATATATACAAAAAATCTCTTATATTTATTCGGTAACAAATTCGATAATAAATAATATACGCGCGTGTGTCAACAAGGTGTATCTTGCATCTCCAACAGTGAAAAATATATACTATTTAGATTGTCTAAATATATAATATAGGCCTTACGCAAACGCAAAGATACTGCCAAAACAGTTTCGTAATGCAGTGTTCGAATTCACACAACGGCGTATAGATTATTACAAAATTATGAGATCGTTGATATCTTATTTGATATGCATTTAAAATGTAATGTACGAGAAACAAGACAGACAAGAATTGATACATTCGCGAGAATCTGTCGATGTATGTTCTCTCATTTTGTACATAGACTTTTGCTTAGACTGTGATTGGTCCCGTTATATACAGACATATATGTATACATAAATATGAGGACCATTTGGAAATTAGACGCCTTAAACGTAGAAGAGACGGACTCGACTGGTAGACACTAAGAGATCGTCGTCGAAGAATTTTGTTTCTATCACAACGTTGCCACTATTCATAACATAAATAAATAAATATATGTATGTTTATCTGATCTCGCTTGATGTTCATTTCTATTCAATATTGATAAAAACAACCATAAGTAATAACCATAAATGAATCTCTCAGAAACCAAATCAACTTGAATTTTTAAAAATTTGGAAATAAAGCTCTATGATATATAATCAAAAGATTCCATTACTAAAATCTGAACCCAAGAAGACCTAAGAACTAAACGCAAAGTCAAAATGTGTATATCACAAATATAAATAAATATGTCTTAATATAACATTTTTGTAAATTTCTCAACTTTATTATTAGAACAGATTATTACTAGAAAATTATTAATGCTTAATATTTCAAAGCTTATCAATTTGTTTGTGAGAGGTTAAAGTATAAGAGTATTAAAGATTTATCATCTTCACTTACTTTAGTACATTAGCTGGCATCATTTGACTTTCCGGTGCAGCTTGGATCAAACTCTGCCATGTGTTAGTGCTGTTTGGTATGACAAATCCAAACTCGAAAAACCATTCCTCTAAGCAACGGCCCTTGAATAACACTTTTTGTTCTAGACGAAACCTTTCCATCGGCTCTGCAGAGCTGAAGTTTATCTCCCTTGATATCGCTCGACAACGTAGAATCTTTTTTGGTACACGTGCCTCATGCTCCATGTCAGGTACAGATCTGGAATTACAAGTGCCACATGATCAAAATTGCATTCGATGTTGAAGGGATATTTGAAAATTTAAGACAAAGCAAGATTACTCACAAGTCTTCGTTACCCTGCCAAAGAATTTTCCCATTGTCAGCATCTCGCAAATTCATCCAATTACTACATAAAATTTAATTAAATAAGGCAAAATACTGTCGTTGCACAACAGTTGTGTGTAATGTCTAATTGTGTTTAATATCAATTACACGTTTAATGTCGACATTGTCGAGTGGATCACAGCGCCGGTGTTCACCAAACCAAATCTTATATTAAAGTTTGTCTTAAGTTTACTCAGACATTGCACAGATTGTTTCACTGGCTACGGAGCACCTGAAATAAACTCGAGACGATCTTAAATATAAAATCTAACTGTGAATACCGGTTTAAACTATTTCCTGGTTAACTTAACCTATAAATTATTAAACGTTAGGTTCCAGGTGGAACCGAAATTGAATCAATATTTAAAGGATACACTTGAAAGCCTTTGAGGATATCTTCTCCACGGGACGGCATATTTATATATTTGTGGTTAGTTTGAGCGTTGAAATAAAAGAAATTGACGTTATTAGGCACAGAAGATAAACGCAACAAGCAAACTATCGATCCACGTACTCATGCCTTCGTACCACAAATGCCGTAAACAAATGGCGAGTCGCCGATTGTGATGCGGAGGTAAAATCTTTTTTTCTCACCAGGTGGCACTTGACATGCACGAATAAAATGCGACACACGGATCACGTGATAGGTTAGGTCCGGCCACACTCGTACTTAAACACAATGTAAGGCACTTTTTCAGGTCTGTCTGTAATTCTATTTTATTTTACTATTATTTCTTATTTTCTCCATTCTCTATTTCCTCCATTGGTGTTTGCTTTGGTTTAGCCAGGAACTTTCTTCTTTCTCTACAACTTTTCTATATGATTCTCCAAAACATTTTCTGTCTTTCTTTCCCAGGCAGAGTCTAATGACATCTTATACTGCAGCAAAGTGTACTTCCGTTTCTGAGAGTTGAATCGCATCAGTTTACGACGCATGCACAGCACTTTGTAAGGATACCATTGCCGTGTGCCTGGAAGGTACTGGGGATTGAGGGATACTACCAACAGTCGAGTTGACCTATCGAATGAGGAGCATTTCCAGAAAATGACTTGGCGTTACTTGATCCCCATAATGTGCCACACTGCATCAACTGCTGTTCGAAATCGATGAAACGGAAAGTTTCACGACACCTAATGTGGATACACAAAAGTAAAACAAGTCGCACAAGTAATATGCGCTAGACGTGCAGCATTTTCTGACTGCTGAGGTTTAAAGCTTGGCCAATCGTGAGCTGCAAATAGCCGTCCGGTTGAAATTTGAAATTTGCAGCTTATAATCCGAAACCGAGAGCGATCCTCGATCTCGCGTGCTTTCTCATCTCCCACCGTCTGAGAGCTGACCTTTCTCCGTCTTTTTTTCAAGCAGTATACGAATTCTGGGACACTGATAATGGCGATGGTCGCGTATACAGTAATATATACAGCGTATATGCGGCAAGAATACAAAAGACGGAAGAAAGGAGCCGCAAATGCATCCGGTTAAAGCTGACGAGACGCTGACAATGGGCGCGTGACGAATCGACCGTCGTGAACCGATGAATAGCGAACTTCCACCGCGAAATCGGAAAGCTTGAAAGTTCCCGAGATTCTTGATCGCGGTCGAGCGTAGGAGGGATTATGTTTCCGCCGAGAGCGAAATATATTTCCTCGACGGGAAAGTTGGCGGTGAAACTGAAGAGAATTGGAAGGTTCGATACATCTCTTGCCATTTCGGAAGAATCCCTTTTTCAGCCATTTTTAACCGAGAACCGAAGCTTCCGCACATCATTTCCAACAAGGGAAGAGTTTTTGCTGTACAATTTTTTGTTGTACGAGTTTTCGTTATACGACTGGCATGACTGTAAAATTTCGCAGCATCGCGGGGAATACGAGATGAGGAATATCGACAAGGCACGACGATGGCACGTAGAACGTCGGAATATCGAGTCTCTTTAATTGGATAATTGAGATTTGGGTAGGAAACGAGAACGGGGACGGACGCGATGCGATGCGGAAGAGGAGAGAGAGAGCACACAATCACGCTCGATCCATTCTGCAGCGATGCATTTGCGGAGCGACCGCTTTCCGCAGCAGAGATCGGTATTTACGTGCAGAGCAGCGGGTCAAGGTAATAAGTGCCGAGCGGAAGATCGGACGCAAGGCGGCTTCTTAGAAGCGATGCCCAGTGATCCGTTTACTCGAACGGGCGCGGAAGAACACCCGCGATCGCTATCGCAGAGCAATTAAGACGCGTCTGACCAACAAATGCTCGATAAACAGGCCGACGTACGATCGATGATCCTGTGTTTCTTGAAACGCAGGTTCCATCCCCCTCCCGCCTATTCCCGTGTCTATTCGTCGAATCGACCTTATCGATCAATTATGCCAACCTACGTTCTTCTTACGTTCCTTTGTTTCTCTCTTGCAGCCCCTTGCAGAATCCTCGCTTCCTTTAAGGAACCTTTAAGGTCCGCGTGAGGATGAGGAAATTAAAGAACGCCTTTTTAACGGAGAGGATTAGACAAATCTACACTACGAAAATATGACGTACCGAAGAACGACTTTGAGACGACCAACCTACTCAGGTCTCAGGTCTCTATTGTGATTTTACCATAGTTTATTTCGGAGATTTCCGGCTGAGAAAGACGGAGGAGAACGAACGCGACAGCGCAACGACACCGAGCGAAATTATGTCTAGGTAAACGAAACACCGCCGCCTTTAGTGAGGAATTACGCGATTAATGCATGCTCTCTCTTTCTCTCTCTCTCTCTCTCTCTCTCTCTCTCTCTCTCTCTCTCTCTCTCCCCCCCCCCTTCTCTCCCAACGTTTTAGACGGGCTGTCCTCCGCCCTGTCCACGGCCCCATTCGCCTGCACCCTCTCCTGCACCAATACCCGACTTTCCGTCCGTCGTCCGTGTGTGTACACGTAAATACGTGCGCGCGTACGCGCGGGTGGGTGCTGGTTGCGCAACGGGGTGGGAATGAGACGAAGGAACTAGCGAGGGTGAAAGCGTCGGAGCCGGGTCGGCCATGCCATGCGCACCCGCGCGCCACGAATCTCCGCACGGATTCACGTGTGTGTACACACCTAGATATACACACACCCTGGCGGTGCCTGCCGTCGTCGTGTTGGTGCAAGCGTGAGGTGCGGGGGAGGTGAGGGTGAGATCGGTGGGTGCTTCGGTGACGTCAGTGCTGATCGTCAGTTGCGCAGAGACGGGGTTGGTTACCGCGCTACGTCAGAATGACGGGCTGAGCGAGCCGATAAACCACCCTCTCATCAGGGACGCGCTCTCTGCGGCAGGCAGGCAGGCAGGCAGGCAGGCAGGCAGGCAGACAGACAGGCAGGCAGGCAGACAGGCAGGCAGGCAGGCAGGCAGGCGGGCGGGCGGGCGGGCCAACGGTCTAGGGGTAAACAGTCCGCTCCGAGTCCGTCGTGTAGTCGTTTGAGAGAATTTTTACCCGTGCAAACCGTCGTGTCAACCGTTCGCGCGTCCGTCGCGTCCGACGCGAGTCTTGTCTCGCGAGTCAGGTGTACGCACGTTCGTTTCTGTTGCAGAGGAACGCGGCGGGAGTATGGAGCGACAGGGAGGAGCGGTGTCGTGAAAGCGGGCTTCCCCGGGGTGGCCGAGAGACCGAGGTCGCTGCGGCTCGACGATGGCGAGCTCGGGCGACGGGGTCGGCGACGATGGCACGACGGGCGTGCCGGGCGGCGGATCCAGGAGTCCCTTCACCTGCGGCGTCTGCCACAACTATTACAACGAGCCCTGCCTGCTCTCCTGCTTCCACACCTTCTGTGCCCGCTGCATACACGGCCCTCACATCGACGGGAAGGTCTCCTGTCCTATATGCGGGTAGGTAATTGATTACTTTTTCTCACTGCAGCACGAGTCGCAACGATTCGCTGAAAAATCCCGTTTGTTCGGACGGAGGAAACTTTAGCGAAACCCAGCTCCGCTGTGGGAGTGGGGGAGCACGCGGTTCTTTTATCCCGCGAGCTATTGTTTACATCTCCGTTCGGCCGATTCCTTTGATCTTCAGCGTGAGCGTGCATTCTCTTGTTATCATATCGTTGCATATTGTTCCATGGCCCCTTATTCTTACATATATTCTTCTGCACACTCTCGCTGCATCATAGTTGTTTGTACGGCAGTGTCGCACGTCTCGTCTCGTCTCGGTCTAACGTACGGCTCTGAAACAATACACAGGCAACAGACGCAATTGAAGGAAGGCGCGCAGCTACCACCGCCCGATCAGCTGATACGTCAATTGGTAGAGCTGGCAAACGCCGAGAACCCACCATGTGCCAACTGCGACAAGCGCGACAAGTCGACCATGTTTTTCTGCACGACATGCGGTACGTTCTCGTGGAGTAGCGAGCACGAATGTGCTCGCTACTCTCAACCACGTGTGTCGAGTGTTATTTGCGACGGGACATGAAAGAAGGGCGCGGCTATTCTTTTGCAGGACAAGCGCTTTGCACTCACTGCAGGGAGCACACCCATCGGGCGAAGATGTTTTCCACCCACGAGGTGGTGCACATGAGCCAGTGCGCCAAGGACACTCAGCGCCGCTGTCCGACCCACGGGGAGCAGTATATAATGTACAGCCAGAGTGCCAAATGCATGCTATGCGCCACATGTTTCCGCGACACGCCCGCGGACGCGCGGGTGCACTGCGTGGACATAGAAAGTGCCTGGCAGCAGTCGTCGAAGAAGATGGAGAGGGCGGTCAATTCCATCTGCGAGCTTCAGGCCGGTATACGAGACGGCGTGCTGGCGCTCAAGTCTCAGCTGGACGAGCTGTGCCATAGCCTGGAGTCCGAGAAACGCGCTCTCGGCGCGTTCTGCCAGGGAATGCAGGAAGCGATCACGAAGACGCACGCGTCCGTGCTCGCGGAGCTGCAACGTCAATTCGAGACGAAAGAGAGGATGGTCCGCGCGCAGTTGCTCTCGCTGGGTAGCGCGCTTCCTGTGCTGCAGATGCACTTGATGTTGTGCACCGCCTTCACCAGCGGCGCGACGAAATATCAATTCTTAGAGCTGGCCCATCTAATGATGGAGCGGCTGGGCCGCGTCGCCCAGCTGGGTCATCCGTCGCGACCGCCCTTGCTCGCCGCTCACATCAAAACGAATTACAGGGCCGACTTTGCGCGCGCCCTGCAGCCCTACATAGGCCAGATGCCGTCGCTCAAGGAGTCCCTGTACGATCAGACCCATACGATCGGCCAGCCGGAGCCGCAGGTGCTTCAGGTACGACGACGCGCGCGCACGAGAAGACTGTCTCTTGATCGTCCGCCTCATGATCGTCTCGTCTTTACTTTCACATTACGAGTTTCCTTTTCACCGCATTTCTCGCGCACGCTCCCGCGTAAGTACGTTGGTTCATACAGGACTTTATTCGATATATGATGTGGCTTGTACTGATTGTTGATATTGTTGATTGGTAGCTGGATTGGTAGCGCCAGAGTAGAGAGGAGGAGGAGGAGGAGGAGGAGGAGACCTCCTCCTTACAGTAGCGCGCGTTCGGCCGATCGCCGAGAGCGGGATCGAGTTTCGTTCGCAGCTTAGATCGCTAGACAGTCGATGTAGTCGATGAGTGGGCAACAACGAACGCGATCGTTGCACAAGTGTATATGTGATCATCAGCGGTTGTTCTTTCCGTCTTTCACGTCAGGTGTATACCTGGTTTCCTCAACAGAGCAGCAAGACTGTACAGAGGCTACCGTCCAAGACGTCCGGGATCGACGGCGGCCCGTTCTCCAATCACTGTCGGACCTTCGACACCCAGCTGAAAGAACTGAGTCAACAGCTGATGACGGTGAAGGAGCGACTGGGCGAGCTGCATCGAGACGTCGCTCTCTTGAGAAGAGCGAACACACCGCCGTTGGGTACGCGTTACGACCTTGTGGCGAGGGACTGCCGCGTGCTGGAACAGCAACTGGAGCACCATCAAATAGAGCTGGAGCGACTTAGGAATGTGTTCGACGCGCTCTGGGAGGAGCAGGTGTGCAGAATTCACATAGAGAAGGAGATCTTTCATTCGCAGGTGCGTATCGCAGGTCGCGTCGCGCGCGCGCGCGCGTGCGTGCGTGCGTGCGTTTCCGCAAGTTTCTTTTATTCTCATTACTTTCGTCGTCCGCCGCCGCGACAGATGAACGACATACTGTCGCTGAGGAGCGAGGTGAAGAAGCTGCAAACGCTGGCCCAACAACTCGAGCCTTTCGTCAAGTCGTTCTCCACGGGCGTCGGCGCCGGCGAGATAAGCATGGCCGCGACGGACGCAGCCGACAATCAGCATCTACAAGTGCTCTTGGATCATCTGGCGCGTCTGCAGATGCAGGAGCCACCTCATCCATCGACTCAGACGCTTACAAAGGATCATCGTCATCCACGTAGCACTACCACGAGCGCTGACAACGCGCTATACATGAAAGGTAAGAGAAAGAGAGCGCGCCGAGTGATCGCGCTCAGATTTAAAGCTGTATTCTAAACGCCGCTGTGTATTCACTCGCGACTTTGTCGCGCGTACATCCTCGCAGAAACGAAGGAGATCCCGACGAGATGTCGCACCCCGTCCGGCGGCGTCGGCGCCGTCCTGGACTCGAGCGGCAACATAATGGTGTACGGCACGGCCAAGTCCACCGATCCGAAGAGAGGCATGCTCAGCCAACTGATCGAGAAGGCGCGGACGAAAGACGATCGCAAGAAATCACCAGGCAGGGAGGACGGTCGCGACCGCAGCCAGAGTAGGCGCTCGCGGAAGTCGCCGGACAGCACGAAGCCGAAAACACCGCCCGGACACTCGTCCGGCAGCAAAATGCGCTCGCTGTACCGCTCGTTGAAGGGCGGCACCGGTGACACGTCCGCCGAGGCGCTCGATCAGACGGAGATCAGGTGTACCGATTCTCAGCAGCCGCAGTCTCACATCGGTAAGAAACGATGATCGTGCGCGATAGCGGTGACAAGCTAGACAAAGCTGATCACCTTACGTGTGACACGCACGCAGATCTGCCTTTCGTAGTAGCGAAGCCTCGGCCAAAGTTTTAGGTTTTATAGACTTATAGAGGCGGTTTTAGACGTCTAGACGTCAGTACGACGTCGCGCTGACGCGCCTGACCTTCGAGTTACTCCGCACTCTCCGCACTGCACACGGCTTGTGTATATACATATTGTACATGTACCACGTGTAAATACATATACAGAGTAATAAAAGATGTACGATAGTCACACACACACACACACACACACATACGTGCACATTTACCGCCCGTCTCGAGGGTGCTCCGATAAGTTTCTCTCATCGTCGTCATGCGCGCCAAATTCTATTCTCGACTACGATCTTTGAGAAATCTATCGGAGTGAAACGATACAGCACACACTTGCTTTCTCTCTCTCTCTCTCTCTCTCTCTCTCTCTCTCTCTCTCTCTCTCTCTCTCTCTCTCTCTCTCTCTCTCTCTCTCTCTCTCTCTCTCTCTCTCTCTCTCTCTCTCTCTCTCTCTCTCTCTCTCTCTCTCTCTCTCTCTTTCTCTCTCTCTCTCTCTAACTCTTCCTCGTTCGACCCGACGAAATGTCTCGCCAACCGTGGCGAATTTTCAGCGACACAATTCCTCCCGCCGCTCTTTGATGGTCACTCTCTTTTAAAAAGACGTGTCCGTGCTTCCCGCAGGAGACGAGAGCGAATACCAACGTATCTCGGAGGCCTCGAGCATGGGCGAGGCGAAGAAGCGCGTGCAGGCGCAGGTGCACGCGGTGCCGGCGGACGAGCAGCCGATTCCCAAGCCCACGAAAATTTATCCGGCGAGCGACTCCGAGGAGGTGTTCTACGACGAGAAAGCGGCGAGCGACGCGAGGCGACGCCGACGCGCCAGCTGTGACAGCCTGAGCACAACCGGCTCCGGCAACAGCAGGCGATCGAGCATCGTCGACGGGACGGTAGGTCAACAACAACAACAACTCGCTCAGGACCCCCGGAAAACACTGATCCTTTTGATCGGACCGACTTCGACGTCATCATCTCTCGTGCAGAAACAGCGTTCCTGGGAAACCTTTCCGAGGCCCAAGAGTAAGCGCGGCGGCGGCGGCGGCGGCAGTGGCGGCGGTGCCGGCGGCGAGACAGGAGCAGCGTCGTCTCTTGGGCAACTCAAAAAAGCAGACAGCTTCGAGGGTCATGAGGAGGCGGTGCGCACCTTGGTGGCGGCCGTGCAGGAGACGCGTTCCCAACTGAGACATCATCATCTGCACCATCATCGCCATCATCGCAAGAGCAAGACGAACTGAAGGCGGTCGCGTTCCCTGCCGTTCCGTTTGCCAACGATCACGTCGACGCCCGAAAGTCATGCGATCGCGTCGCGGGACCTGAAGAAGTGCACGCAGGCAAACGTAAACGGCAGCCCGGCTCGGCTGCACGAGTCGCGCTATACGAGGTATCGAAGATATTCCCGTGATGAGCCGTGATTGCGTAAATAAGCAAAATTATCAAAAAAAAAAAAGGAGAAAAAAAAAAAGAAAGAAGACTAAGCTCCGTGCGGATTTTAAGTACTTGTTATTTAGCGAGTGAGAGAAAGAGTGAGAAAGCAAACGAGAGTAAATGTATCGTTACGAGAGAGCGAACGCGTTATCGGTTTTTCGAAGATTTTGGACATTCTACTGAATACATAATAACGGATAGATCTATAAAATTACGATGATAAAAGCGAGAGAAAAATCGGGGGAAGGGGGCGAAAGAGAAAAAAAAAGAAAAAAGAAGAGACGCGAGTTTTAGAAGAGCGCGCCTCGCGCGCGAATATGTAAAGTCAGGAATCTCTGTAGTAGAAGTATAATCGTCAAAGAGGCACCTTCTCGACAAGTGCACTTTCGTAATTTGCATTACTTTCTCGGAAGACTGTCGAATTTCTTTGAGATCCCGACCAAGTGTGCGCGATGTTTATATTGACTCCGAGTTTTTTAACGTTTACATTATGTCTCACACGTCGGAGTTGCGCCACGATCGTAATCCAAGTCCACCCAAGTGCACGCGCGCGCGCGCGCGCAACTCCGCGATCGATCTTTTTATAGCGATTTAATTGCACTTTGAAGCGCCGAAGGGTAGTAGAGCCATCGCTGCCATCGCTGTGTGTGAATCGCAGACGTTTGCAGAACAGAGTGCGACTTGTTGATGAAAATGCGTTACCCGCTACTCGATATCCGATTGATACGACTTGCTGCCTGGGGGCAGTTGATACACACGTAGAGCCTTGTGATTAGGAATCTAGCGGGAGGGAGAGAAATGTTCACGAACAAGAAGCGTGCATGGCGATGTACAATAATGATAATAATAACAATAATAATAATAATAATAATAATAATTGTTAAGAAATCGCGGTTGACGTCTCACTCAATTTGCGCTGTCGACGAGACGACGTTTTATGCGTTTCGTTTTAACCTTCTTTTGTGTTCCCCTGTGAAAACTTCGTTTGCCTATTCGCGTTGCGCCCCGCAAAATAAATACGAATCGATTCTTCTCGTGGTATCCTACATCCAGATCGGCATGACAGTCTTGGCGCGTGAGTTTCCGGATAGCATAAATGTCTGAAAGATGTCTTCTTCTTCTTTTACTTGTTTTAGACGTTGTTGTTTGTCTAAAACGTTGTTTAATGTTGTTGGTCTCTGAGATGAGTATTAGAGACATCTGTGCCGTCTGGAAGTGTCATCTTGGAGCTTCCCATAGTACACATGGTACACGAGCTCCGGGAGAAGAATAAAACTTGAAGTGTCAAAGCTGTTACGCCGACCTGTATCGCGTTCGACGCATTTGTAAAATTTTATTTGTGCTCGAACGTCAACCGGCGACCCGACGATGCAGAGTCCGGTGGAAGTACGTCGCGCGTAAAAATTACGGTCGGTCGAGTGTGTAAACGGTAATACTTAGTTAGTAAACAACACTGCCAGTCATACATTACGAATTTAATCGACGTGCAAAAGAATAGCCTAATCCGGGAGCGTGCTCGTAATGTCGCTAGTCGGACCGCGAGCTCCGCGCACGTCGCTCAATGTTCGTGCGATGGGACACATTGCTGCGTGGACGCTTCGTAATTATACATTATCGACTGTCATTATAACGGTAATATTCGCAATTACTTAATGAGAAAGATACGTAAATATAATTGCCATTACGAGGAATCGACTCTTCCTCGTGAAAGTCGGCACAATCGTTAATCATTGTTCGAATTTAATCGAATGGAGATCTTCTTCGGTGACTCTCCCTCCTCGAGGGAGGAGGGGGTTTACGAGAAAGGGATAAAGTTTAATTATAGTGAATGTACACTGTAAACATGTATGAGAAATGTCGAATATTGCTGGCATAGTAAAATATATACAAGTTAATAAATATGTTCTCGATTTATATCTATCGTATCTTCATGTAACGCACAAGCGACACGGAGTATCTCGTTGTTAATCTCTCTTTCTCTCTCGTTTGCGACACGAACATGACATGCATGCATACATACATATACACACACACACATACACACACACACACACACACACACACACAACATCTCGTCTTGTTATCTGTTTTAATTGGACGAATGTTACATGTACACAAGGGATCATTCACGCGGTGTTTCACTTGTTGAATTTGACCATCACGTGCGCGCATATTAACGCTGGAAAGCTGTCAGCGGACAAAGCGCAAAGAAAACAAGAGAAAGTTGGAATCGACGATGTTCGAGAAATTTGCAGGGTTGATATACAGCGGAAATAACAGTTTCCAATAAATTAATCTGACTGATTGCAATATATTTTATGAATTATTTATATTATATTTACATACAGTCATTTCCTTCCTATATGCACAATGCACATCTTATAATACAATGAGCGTAACTATTCGCGATAAAAATACATGACTTTTTTTTTCACTTGTGATGTTCCGACAAATCTTACACGGGAGGGTATTCTCGCCAATTTTGCCGAAAATCACATACTTTGTATTAGCAAAATTGATGAAAATGTGTCTATATACAAAAATCGGCGTTTGTATATTGAGTTACCTATATAAAGGATTTTACACTTTTGTTTCTCTTTCATCATCAAAATCAAATCAAATCACTGCCGTAAAAATTACTTACAACTGTCCCCTGCAGAAATTAATATCTCCATGGAGATAAATTATATACTATTGCTACTTATATTCTGTTATCATACCGTTTTCGTCTTCTTCTTTGGCTGTATGTCATTGTTGTTGGTGATTTTTTCAGAAATTTCCTGGGAATGGCTTTCTTGGGTGTTATCTTCAATATTTTCTCGGGAGTTTTTCTCTTCGGGAGTTACATTTTGTACCATATTTAACTGCGAAATACCTATCGTGTCGATATATTTTATTTTCAATAAATTCATAATGCCCCAATTAATGTAATTGGATTTATCCGAAGTTTCTAATATGAAAATTGCGTCGTGCGCTTTCTCCTTTAAGCGATTTAGCTCATAGATGGTCACATTCTTGGCGACATTTAATGTCGTCTCAAGAGGATTAACAATGTGAAGCGGTAAGCGGGATGGTTTCCTAATCGGAATGCCTTCGCGGATGCATATTCCTTTCGTGTAGAAATCGAATAATGAATAAAATTCAAAAAAGTCCAGTAAAAGAGCCTCTAAATTTTCTTGATTCGATTTATATTTGTATTCGTTTGGTAATTTGTTGATATCCCGCAGGAAGGTGCAATCGATGCCATTTTCCGTATGACGAATGTCATCGCGTGCTACAGAAATAAAGAGAGAGATTATTATGAATTTAAGTTCCCTGATTTTGTGTAAACTTGTGTGATAATTGTGCAAAAAGAAAGAAGGATTTGTCACGTGTACAGACGACAGATGTAACATTCGTTCGTGAATCTCACTTACTCGCATATGTCTTCAACATTCTCAACGATGGTAGTATATTTTTCTGCTGGAAGTAAAATAACACTAGCAATGACAAAGAGAAATTTGTTATCCACGGACCTGGTGAATCGCACGTTATCTCTTGAACTTTTGCCCAATTACGTATTACAGAAACAAGTGGTCTAACCCGCCAATCTATTTCTCCGTATAGGTGTAATAGTTCGGACATGTACACTGCACTCCTGCAAGAAAAATTGCGAGATTGATGTCACGTGCGTTTTGTTCCCGCAAAAAAAAACCAATGAATACCCTAGTCTTCTTACATATTTGTCGTGCTCAAGTCGCACTCAAGACGAGTGTATTCGAAATTGAATTTGATGATGGGTACTCGAGCCTCTAAAATTCTTCGCAAGTTTTCGACTCCAGGAATAAAGTGCTGCATACTACTTGCAAGTATTCCCATAAATTCCTTTGTCTCGTATCTTTCATTAATTCTCATGGTTTTTGAATGAAATATTAACCTGCTATTGACATTATCCTGTAAATGACAAAATTTATTAATTTTTTATAACAATAGCAAGGGAATAAACAATTCAAATCACATATCGTGTACTTACCTCTTTAATATTGGCAGGGACAAGAACTAAATCAAGATCACATTTTTTCCTTCCAAAGCCATTTATAGATGAGCCAAATGGTAGAACTCTCATTTTACAAAATAATCCGGAGAAATACTGTTCTAAATGATTTGCTGTATGAAATCTCAATCTTGTTTCTAAATCATTCAATTTTAGCATATCATACAAGTACAGTATTTGTCCTGATATCTATAAAATAAAAATATTAATTTTATATAATGCTAATTGAAACCTCAATCATAGAGACTAAATCAGTGATATTACCGATTTTGAATGATACAACCTATACGCAACTTGCTTTGCAGTTGGATCATCATTTTCTGTATATGATACTGTGTTCCTGTCATTACTTTTCAGATTTGAAGCTACATTGTCTTTACGAAACCACAATACTTTTGATCTTACTGGGACAATTAAATCAGCATCCATAAAGGAAGAGCTTGATATAACTTTTCTCACTGATTCTTCATTCTCAAATTCGACCAATATATAATTCTGAAAGTAGATGTATAACACTAATGTTGCTTGTATATCAAAAGTATTATTAAAGACTGAAGATTATTGCTATAATTATAACTGAAACATAATCAACATACACGTTGTTTATTTGTCCGATAGTGATGTACACTCTGAATTATCCCAAATTGAGCACAATAATTTTGGAGATCTCTGTGCGAAGACAGGGAATGCACTTGCACCAATATACTTCGACATGCTTGATTTCTTCTTAAGATCATTTCGTTTTCAAACGTTGCAAATTTGCTATTAGTCAACTTTTCTGTGTTTTCATCTGCAAAAGTAAAATTGTTGAATGGACATTATAGGTTATGTTCTCACGTGAAAAAATTATGACCGAAATTGTTGACCGAAAATACTAAAATATTACATTGCATTTAAAATTCTGATAAAAATTATTACAAAACCAATAAGTTCCTCTAAGAGATTTTGCACTGTTTGTAATTTTTGTAGGCGAGATATCATATTAGATTAGTTTCAATTTACCTTGTTTGTTGAGCTTCTCGTTTAAAACAGAGGATGATATCGCGACATGCTTGTTCGTTTTTAATTTTACTGTACTAGTTGCGATTTTGTTGTAACAATGATTTAATACAGAAAGCGAATTCAGGTTAACACGCTTGAAGAGTGCCATTTTAAAACTTGATTATAATTCTGTACGCGTGCACATGCACCGATAAGGAAGAAAGGAACGTTGTATTGTTTCGCACTATACCGACAGATGGCGCCAGACTAGACTTTCGATCGATTCAAACCAGTTCCGCAGAGATCAGTGCAATACTCTAAAGTGCAATTTTAATTTTTTATTCTGCAGCACGACCAAATCAGGTAAACTCATTTCTATTCATTAATGAGCTCACGTATTTCCACAGCGAGTTGAAAATAGAATTACGGGAGAAATATCCACTTTGAATTGTTTCACTCTACTAACTCTTGAGGTAAGGAAAGGTATTTTCTGCACCCTAAAGGGACCATCGCGACGACGATAGCACGGCCAATTTAGATGATGACGTAAACTCGTTCCGTCTTCCTTCTCCTCCACATCGCATCGACGCGTTCCTCTATCCTCCCACTTCGTTCTCGCAGCATCTTTCGCGTGACCGTAGCTGCGTGACGCCCGCTAATCGAACGAGAAAGAGACAGATACGACCTTCTCCCCCTTCTTCCCCCCTTCTAGCTCTCTCTCTCTCTCTCTCTCTCTCTCTCGCGTGCATGATCATCGTGTTTTATCTTCGTCTCGTCTCGACTTGTCTCTGTCTTCCGCGCGTGTCTTGTACCGGCTATGAGTACTCCACTCTCCTTCCCTTTCTCTCTCTCTCTCTCTCTCTCTCTCTCTCTCTCTCTCTCTCTCTCCCTCTATCCTTTCCGTCGCTTTTTTCTCGCTCAGGAAGCCTTTTCGCTGTCTCCTTTCACCCTGTTCTCTCCGTCTCTCTTTTTCTTCCTTTGAAAAGCGCAGAATCCTTGTGCAGTTCCTTGTGCAGAACTCCCTCTTGTTCCGCCGCCTCTATCGCCTACCTCATCCGCCCTCAAACACCTTTATCGCGCTGTCTCTTTTCCCCTCCGGATTTAAAGCTAAGTTTAAATCACCTCTCCCTCTCACCTTCTCTACGTAGCTGGCTTTGCTGTCTTTTTCCAATTCGCGACGCGCACGATATCTCCGTCGCGCGCGCGCGCCCAAGAGAATCGTACGTCTCCGTCCAATACGGTCGCGCCGCTCTCCCCTCCCTTTGCGCGTGCAGCCCATGAGGAAGAACGAAGTGTGGCGAACTTCAGTCTCGAGTCTCGCGTAGATCGTAACGGGTTCGCCCTCCGCGACGCGTCGTTTTTTCACGCTCGATTAGGCCCCATGGAGAACCGCGGGCCCGACAGCAGGTCCGACAGCAGTGCAGTGTCCAAATAAGAGCGTGGAGTAGAAAGAGCGGAAAACACAAGGAACGAGAGACGCGGGAACAAGCGGAAAGCGGAATGTGCTCGGGACGCGAACACCCACGACTCGAGCGAGACGGAAGGTGCTCCGACATCGTCACGGTATAGCAACATTCATACACGCACTCGCTTATTTATTCAACACTGACGGATCTATGCGATAGCTCGAGCACGCCGAACGAACCTGCTGTTCGCACTTCCGCACGCAACATCCTCACCTCACCAGGTGAGGTTAACGAGTCAATAATTCACGAACGACGCTCCGCGAAATCGCCATTGCCAATCGCGGACGCGTGAAAAGCGTTGCCATTTGAAAAAGTCTCGACGTACGGAACGCGCGCGCGCGCGCGCGTATCGGATTCAGCTGATTGATACGTCCAATAGGATCGCGTACCAACGACGACGGACGATCCGTCGCGACGATGAATGTCGCGCGAAAGGTGCTCGTCGAAATGATGCGTTGAGATTGCTGCTCTGTCCAAGTTTCGCAAGTTTAGAGTCCGAGCTCCCGAAATTATCAGCAGAGAGAGAGAGAGAGAGAGAGAGAGAGAGAGAGAGAAAGCGTGCGAGACCGAGAGAAGCAGAGAGGAACACAGTAAGGTACAACGACCGAGAAGTTTTGGGATGTCGACGTACAAGAGATGGACTTTGTGGCCGGCGAGAACGCGTTTTCGACACTTTGCAAAGACACCGACGATCAATCGCAGCTGAGCAATCGCCGATGATCGATCGGATCGATCAGTCCTGTTGATCGTGGAACTTCCTTCGGTGAGTCGTCGTGAGTCGCTCCGACATCACTTTCGACATTTTGAGCTCCACGAGTTGTGTTGGCGAACAAGTTGGTTGGCGACAGAGCGGCAGAGGGAGAGTCTCGTGCCGCATTTTCGGTGTCGTAACGACTCCGCGAGTAACCTGGAATTATCCCCGAGGGCTTCGGAAAAGGAGCAGCAGGTGAGAATCACTTATCACGTAATTACTATTGTCATTCCCCGGAAGCACAGGAATATATTTCCTGCATTAAAATGCTAGCACGAGATGCTATCGCGAGCGCTGGAGTATCTTTCAATCGCGTATCACGCCGCTTCTCGGAAGTTATAGGCCACGGAGAATGGATAATGTTATGATAATGCTGAGAAATTACGGAGATGCGCTCCGCAATACAAACATTCGCGCAATTATCTCGCATACTCGTCCGATTTGCATTCGCGCGGCGAACATCATTTCGCGCAACCACTCGCGGCTATTCTCAATCGATCCGCGCGAAATAATCATTTATTATAGGTGTCTGCACACGACTGCGCCAAAACAGTCGCAGTTTGTAAGAACGAGTGACCGTTAAGATATAGCAATTAATTATTGCTAATTCAATTGTCTAAACAAAGACATTGCGCGCGGATAAGCGAGAATGCGAAGCGAGAGACGCGTGACGCGGTAACCAACAGCCGGATGGATAATGTCAACTTGGTCGCTTTAATAACGACGTTATGCAACGCAAACGAGCCCAAGGCTTCTTCCCTCGCGTCCGTTGGGCTCATCGCCGGCTTGTGGGCGATTCTTAACCAAATATGCCGGTATCAAGGTTCGAATCGCTCGCGTGAAACCGTGTGGGTGAGAATGACATTTTGATGCCGGTCGTTACGAAAATGGAAGGTGACTCGACGAGAGCGAGGTTTATTAAAAAAAGTACATGTGTAAGAGTGTGTGCGAAATCAGTCGCTACGAGTAGCAAATTTAATCTATAAAATTATTCGATTAGTTCGTAATAACTTTTTTTTTTAATCTAGCTCTTTTATTTTTATTTTTATTTTTATTTTATTTTTAATTTATTTTTAATTTTTATTTTAGCCTTTTTTATTTTAATTATAACTTTTGATACAATTAGACACAAGCGTACAATGCAGGGCGTTAAATAATTACGCGTGAGTATTACTGCTCGCGCTGCATGCTTTCACATGTGGGCATTGGAATCACCAGAGATTTCAACGCCCGCATGTAGAAATCAGAAGAGCGGAGATTGCTTCGGCGCACACCGCGCATCGATTTATCATGCTCTTGAATTTTTCGACTCGACGTGGCTCGCCCGCACACGAGCCGAAACCTTCGATTACCAGCGTGTGTATGTGTGTGTGTGACAGGTGTTTCCGCCATTGAAATTTAACCATGCGCGCTGTTCAAAACATCTAATCTCGCTCGCGTAAATTATTAAAAATAATTGTTACTGGTTTACGATATTTGTAAAGAGGTTTGTGCCAATGGTGATAAGTTTATGAGTTTCGAGTAGGGAAAATTCCAAATTTTTATTCATTAAAAAAATCCAAATAGTTTTTTACTTATTGGAATAATAAAATATATCTTTCTTAATAACGATAACACACAATACATGCCCAATATCGTACAATAATTATATCGTACGATATATCAGAAAAAAATCCTTGCCTGCCAAATATCCTCCCGCGTGTGTACGAGAGGGACACGTCCCTGGCCGCGATCGCATCGGCATCCGCGCGGCGGCGCGAACCTGACGCGGGCATCTGCGCGACCTACCGCGAGGAAGAAGATGGAAGTCGGCGGCGCGCGAGACCTAGGCGGAGGCTCGCGGCACGTCGATCTTAGCTATCTCGTGAATAACGATGGATAAGATCGCGGTAGATCGACGCGGCGTCAGCCGCACATCGAGAAGGGTGCGGGTGCGCGAAAATGGCGGCCACGGCGGCAGCGCTCGCAACCGCGTCCACCACAAATGCCGACCATGTGGTGGTGCTGGGTCCCGGTGGTGGTCGAGGTCGATCGCGTACCAACGCCGCCTATATCTCGGTGCTCTAAAAAGTGAACGTTGCATCGTGCACCGCCACCGCCGCCGCCGCCGCCGCCGCCGCCGCTGCCGCCGCCGCCGCCGCCGCCGCCGCCGCCGCCGCCGCCGCCGCCGCCGCCGCCGCCGCCGCCGCCGCCGCCGCCGCCGCCGCCGCCGCCGCCGCCGCCGCCACATTCGCGGAGCAACATGTCGCTTTCTCGACTGCGAGCCTGCACCCGAACGCGAACGGGTCCCGGCTACTAACCCACCTGAAAACGTTCACCGTCTCTGCCTCCTCCACCGAGGTCGGCCTTAACCCTCGCCCCACGATGACGTCATGACTCGAGGAAGCATCGTGATTGTCGTTGCTTTTTTTCTCTCTCCCGCACGTCGGATTCCGATTCGCAGAATAGCAGACCCGCCAACGAATTGCCGAACCTTCTCTCCCTTCTTTGTGCTTTCGTGCTGATTTGTATGACGGGGGATGAGAGAGTAGGGATGCTCTTTCGCGAATCGGATAGGATCGACGATAACTACTAATACGATGGGGCACACAGTCGTGGGTTGGAACTGAAAACGAGTACAAGGTCAGTTGGCAGGGAGGGAAAGAGAGTAACGGAGTGACAGGGGAAGAATAGTGCGGAATCGCGGAACGGAACTGGTTCGATCGCCGTGCACCAAAGTACGTCTCGTTAAAATTGAGTTTTTCACTGCTTCCGTCGCTTGTATTAATAAATACCGCGACGCGAAATTATTATAGCTCGGGCAAGCGCGAGAGTGCGAGCGAAGAGCGGTGAATTTTCGAATGTACCGCCTCTCGCACGGCGAACGATGTTTGCGCGGACGATCGTATTCATGGGAGTTCGACCCAGTTATTAATAAGACTTTCTCTTTTATTTTAGCCATGGACTGGAGGGTGGTCGTGTTGGCATTTCTGGCGGTGAGTAAACAAACAAATTTTGTCCTTCTTTATTTATTTCCCCGAGCACGCTCGCCTCGAACGAGCGCGGCGCGAAATATTTTTGCAGTCGCCCTCGGCCCTCGATTGTTTTGTTCCCTTCCATTTAATTTTCCGCAAGACGCGAGATAAATAAACGAGATATATAAAACGAATGTTTATTTCTCGGAGTTGCATGCGTGAAGAAGCGTCACGCGGTGAATGTTTACGCGCGCGCGTATTCCTTCTCTTTCTTGCAGAATATATCACATTACGTTCGCGCGATAGATGCACGATCTACCGTTTACATATAATCGTCTTAGATTCATTCACATTACGCGATTCGTGCAAGTGTGTGTGTGTGTGTGTGTAATTAGGGGAGCTAACATAAGAACTATTGCACTCTGTCAAGTGGAATTGTGCGATCGAAACGATACATTATCTCGCTATTTTTCACACGCGATTACACACTGAAAGGGAAGAGATATAGTTTGTCTTAAAAATTATAGCTACCATCGATACCCAGCTATATTTTTTATTGCTCCAACAAGAAAGCAGTAGTAGTCATATGATGCATTATTATGACGCATATACGATTATTTGTATGCGAATATACGATAACGAGTTTTATCGCACGTTGACACAACTATTAGCAGCGATTATTGCGAAAACGATTTCCACGTTTGGCTATAATTATCTCGCTGCGTAATCATACACTGAGAAAAAATTGTATTAAAATTAAACAAATATTTGTACGAATACGACTGTGAATACATTTAGTCAAATTAAGCGACTAATTTCTAAGATGAAGTACAGAGATTCTCTAAATGTAAACTTATTTCTTGCACTTTAGAAATTTGATAATTGGTTAATTTAAATAAATGTATTCACACAGTCGTATTCGAACAAATATTTGTTTGATTTTAATACTTAATTTTTTCTCAGTGTGCATCAGATGCAACTGTCAGACACTTTCTTCTCAGTGTCGATGGTCGAAAGAATTCCGAACCGATCGATTATCCTTACATCCGACTCGCGACTCGCGATATCTCGCGATTGAAGGACAGATGGGTAATTATTGTCCGGGAATACGCGATTCGCGGCTCGCTATCGTTTTGCAGATAAACGCGGGTCGGCATGTCCGCCGTCGCCACTGCAGCAACACGTACGCACACTTTCTCTCTCGTACGTGCCGCGTCGTACGCTCGTGTTGGTTCGGTGCTATGTGGTGTGGATTATGTAAGCCTTTGTTGGCACAACCACATCGCGGAGCGGTGTCCGTGAGTGCTAAAGCATGTCGTCAAACAGCTGCCGCCTCCGATATTCAAATTGACGCTCGTCAGGGAAAATTTGACAAACGATTCTCTCGCCGAGAAAGCAGCTCGACCACTTTCGAATGATTTTCAGAGGCAGCCTGTGTAGGCGAAATATGTGCGATCCAAGTTCCTTCTCTAATTCGCGTCGGCGCGGCGCGCGGTCGTTCATCTGATTGCTTCTTTTTTTTTTTCTTTCGCCTCTCGAGTCACCCATGAATCATACATACGTTGACCGATATTCGAGCCTCCGAGATCCCTCGAAACCTGGATGCTGCTCTCTCCAATGCAAGTTCTCTCCAATGACGGTGGAAAAAGTAGCGAACGTATGAAAGCGTAGAGAATAGCCGGGACAAGAAAGGGAAATGAAATATACTCGCACTCGTCTTGTCCAGTGGATATCTCGCGGATCAAACAGATAAATCGATCCTGCTAAGAGAGTCCGCGTCGCCGGAGGACAATCGCGAAGGTCGTTAACACTCGTTGACCGCTGCAATTATCATTGATTACTCAAATTGCCATTGATCATGTCTAATCTCGATTGAATTACTGAGAATATGATAAATACTCGTGTATATATATAATTTGAAAGATACACGTGTGTCTTTTATCTCGTTTGGTTGGTTTGGTTTATTGGCGGTGTGATTAGTAGATTTTTACCGGTGTACAATCAATGTGCGTCTAAGTCGATATGTAATTAATTAATACAATTTATATGTAATTCAATAAAATATGGTAGTATCGCGGCGCGATCGATTGATTGATCGGTCATCAAATCTATCATACGCGAGGTGTAATCTCCCGAGGAAATCGTGTCACCTGACGCATTGACTGGCATTGAATCGACGTAAACAAGGAGCGCGGTAATTCGGGTTATTTAAATACTGAGGGTGCGCTGTCCGCTTCGCGTTCGTTGTTCACGGCGGTTTCGGAGGACGTTATGTCATCCGTCCGACAATAGTCGTGGGATCGTTCTCGTGATGGAGGTTGACGGATTTAACGTCGTTAGCCCATTCAAGAGGCGGCAATCCCGGCCTTACGTAACACATAATAATCGACAATTACGCTAAACTTGGCGTTTACGCGGCTCGGGTCTCTAAAGACGGGATCTTTGAAGCACAACACAACGCGCTAACGGATGACGGGTGACGTAAAAGAGTAACGATGAGCGTGTGCTCATTGTCGTGAAATGTAGACCATCGTTAGCGCATACTTTTCCATAGTCACATAGTAAATATTCCTCCGCTTCGTTAACACACATTGACTCACTCTGACCGCGTTGATTCCCCCTGATTATTTCGGCGCTCAATTGAAGTGCAGTCAAGGATACGGATAAGGTATATAATTGCAATTTACGATCCATACATTCTTGAGCTCGTTTCATTGACTCTCCATCGGCTACGTATATAATTTGTACTTGCTGCTGGGTGTGTTTTATACGCGTCAATTAGACGCGGCATTATTGCAGAGAGCCGACTGCAGTGGTGATCACGTCAACGCGTTTATGCGCGTTCATATCACGACGCAAAGTCTGATTCTCTTTCTCTGCCTTTCCTTTTCTCTTCTCATTTGCTCATATTTGCCGGTTAAACGCGAATGCGTGAAACGAGAGAGAAACGTTGCTGCGTGCATGAAGCTTTGCTCGGAACACCTCGCGCATGCAGGAACGAAAGACAATCCGTTCGGAACCGCCACGCCCACTTTTACCTGGCGTTCTTTTAAATATCGGCGCGGGATCTGAGAGAGCTGCGGAGCTCGCTGGCACGTTTCCACAGACATTTCACCGCGCAGTCGATAGCCGGAAGAATAACGCTCGAACGTGCACTTGACTCGGTATTTTATGCGTTCTTCGCTATGCTACCACCTTTGTTACGACGCGACGCGACGGGGAAATAGCAACAACGGCTGAATGGCCGACAGGCTGAATCCCGTCGCGTGCGACGCGACTTGCGGATTTTGAATACGCATCAAGTGCCGAACAAAGTGCGAAACAGGTTTCCCGTCGAAGGGAAAGGATCGCGAACACACATTTCTAAACGCCTCTCTTCGCAAAGCCGCATATATATATATATACACACAGCTGTTCGCCGAAGAAAAAACCCTTCAAACGGTGTACCTTGAGCGAGCTGCCGCACTCTCACTTCCTAGGCGTGTGATAGAAAACACGAAGGCGCGATATCACTCCCGGCAAACATCTCGGACGACACGAGTGGGCCGTGAAGATCAATAGAAATGTGCGCCGACGAAGGAAAGAGAAAGCAACAAGATATTCTACCTTGCTCGTTTACATTGAGTGACACACAAGACACGAATCCATCGACCATCGACGAGCTTTCGACGCATCGATTTTCGCCTTGAGGGGGGCGAGCTGGCACTCGGCAGCTTCAAATTAGGATCTACCTACGGCCCAATTATTATCCCATCAGAAATCCGAGCGAGAGCTCACGCGGGATTTATATTCGCGTCCGCGCGTATCCGAGCGCCGAGCGACGTAGACGGCGTCCGATACCTAAGAGGAGGAGAATACCCTCTGATAGACAATCTCCTTTTTTGGAGGCGGAACTCCTGTTACTGGCTGAGAAGGCTTGCTGAGAAGGTGATGAAGTATTATCGAATACCGGAAGAGTGTTATTGAATATTGGATCGTCATACATCGGATGTCTCGAGCGCGGCGTGAATCCTGCATCAGTATTCACGTGGGCGTCCGCTCGCAGTGTTCGGAAGTCAACGCGAGTGGATTCGCGCTCGCCGACGCGACCGCTTCGCCCACGACCACGACGTGTGACGGAGAGCCGGGAAAAGCTCAGGCACAGCCCGGCACAGCGGGAGCTGGAGCCTTCAGCGCGGCTGAAGTTGGACATCGTCGCTAATACTCGAACGCCCTGTCCGACATAATCGCGAGCAGGGCGGGCGGGTGGGCTTTGCTCGCGGCGTCAGATCGCTACGTCATCGGAGCACGCGCCGCGGTTGCGTACAAGAGAGTGACTAACGCAAGCAATGAGAGCCTTGGTGCGGCCGCAATAGAGGTGAAGTATCGAGCGAGCGAGCGAGCGAGCGAGCGAGCGAGCCCACGTTCCGCGATCCGCGATCGATCGGCTCATCGTCGATGCTCGCTCTAATTACCTATTGATCTACTTGACGTCCGTGAAGTCGCCCGCGACGACGACAACGCAACAAAGCTGCTGCGCTACGTGCTAATTGCCGAATCAACGTATCACGTTGCCGATGAAAAAGAACCTTTACCCGCCGGACCTGATGTGATCGACACTCGACATTCAATTGATCATCAATTGTGGCATAGATCAGAGTGCAGAGTGTTTTCATCCCATACACTTGGGGATATTTGGCATCGAACTCACAATGTAAATTTCCCTCTTTCAAGATATTGTACAAAACTGTTTGTATCCGCCTTGAGTCCGCGTTAGTCGACGTCATCGTCAACGAATCGTCGAAGATAATCGCGCACGTCGTGCGCGATTCTCTTGGACTTTCCTACGATGCGAAGTCGCGCATCGGAGTAGTCACACGTGAGAAACGCGTATCGTTTCCGACGGGGCGAATCGTTGTGGAAGGTCAGTCCTCAATGGATTCCATTGCGGCGGATGGTACGCCGCGGACCTTATATGGTTCGGTCTGCCGGCGAGTAAGTCCGCTGCGCTGCGCTTTATCGAGATATCTCTGGTATTTCGCGCTCCAGTCACGTCCACGACTCCCCTCGATCCAATTATATCAGCGCGCGACGAGATACGACGCACGCTCCTCGCGTAGATGGTCCAGCGTGCGACAGACATCACGCCACGTCGAATTAGCGACGCGGCGGTAAGTCGCACTTTGGAAAATCCGTTGAGCCGCCGAGAGAAGAGGCCACACGGTTCCTGTGCCGACACCCCTTCACTTCGGTGCGTTATTATTAAGTATAGCCGTGAATATATCGTGCCGCGCCGATCGTGCGTGGGTAAGAGAGAGAGAGAGAGAGAGAGGGGGGGGGAGGAGGAGGGAGAGTGATGCAGGGGCTATGGCGTTCCGTGTGTACACACTCGAATGATCAGTGACTCGTTAGACCACTTTCATTGCACGGACGAACACACGCCGGCCATGCTGACGTCAGCGTTTGCCGCGCGGAGACTTCTGTCGTGAAACTCTCCTCCTATGTTCGCGTCTAAGAGAGATCGTTGAAACGACGTCGTTGCGCAGACAAGACGGGAAATGATTTTAACGAGCGGCTCCCAACTTCTTCGAGTATCAATGGATTTTGCTTTTTCGCGGATTCGCGGATCTCGTCGACGCCTGAAATCGAAAAGAAGTAAGTCAGTGTCTGAAAACTTCAGTTTGGAAAAAGAAAGAAATTGGAGTGCGGTGAGTGCGCGAAATTGAACTTTGTACAACTCGACTCGAGTTATTTCTGCCCGCTGCGTCGTGCCGCTTTTTCCTTGTACAATGTGTACTCGAAAGGAATTGCGAAGTCGCGAAGTCGCGTGATCGTCCTTGCTTTACACTCACGTTCATTCGCAATCGCCTTTGCGCGATTGCCTTTGCTGCGGTTTCTAGAAATATCCAGTCAGCGCAGATCAGTTTGCGTGAGAGAGACATGCCCGATGTCCGTCCGATCGCTCAGCAACGATAAGGACGATTTAAGTCCGCAGTGTGTGTATACTAATTCTCGCTCGAGTTTGCGCTTAAATCGTTCCCGATTAAATCGTCGCGACCGAGATAATCCGCGCGACTCTTGCATACATCGCCGTCGGATCATGATCGCGTATTCGTGTGTATGTATGTATGTTGGACGAAATTAGCCGCGATCCGCGACACAGCGACGGTGATGAGTTTCGAATTGGATAGATGGAAGGCAATTACCGGTACCCGTGTATCTCGTCACTGTTAATCTAAAAATAGAGCCGCGTTGTGTTACGTGTTCTGCTGGATGGCATAATTAAGGGCGGTTTTACTCGAGGATACGTTAATGCGCCGCACGTCTTTTCCATTATCGGACCTGACTCCGTCAGCTCCGCTCTCTCTCTCTCTCTCTCTCTCTCTCTCTCTCTCTCTCTCTCTCTCTCTCTCTCTCTCTCTTTCCATATACAAAGACTCGTCGTCCACGGTTCTCATTTACAACCTTGCGAGACGGCCGGCGTCAGGCCGAGGCTTTCAGGTTTCACTCGAGAGAGATCAATCATCGTTTCCATTACTTCATTTCCTTCCCGTGCTGAAACGACGAAACCGCGCGCGCTCGGTTTCGTCGGTTTTCCGCGTGCCGGCGACTCTGATACGATGAACGAATCGATGTTTTATTTTTAGCGAACACGCGAATTGTCCGATTCGCCCTCCAGCGAATCTCGCTGGAGATGCTGAGGGAAAAAAAATGACAAAGAATCCCCTCTCCCTTGAGGATTCGTAAAAATAACGATGGCGATCCGGTCCGGAGCGATCCGGTATGGAGTAAAACCAACGTGATTCATACATCCTGGAAAGCTAGAGGCGAGAGGGCGAGAGGCGAGAGGCGGAGAGAGACGATCGAGAGTCTAGCCGAGCTTGACATTTTCGCGGGACTTTCATATCGCGCATTTTAATCGAACTACGCGATCAATCATCGATCCCACGTAGACGGATTAATACCTGGACTAATACCTGGACGTGGCGCATCGTGGCAAAACGTGTCTGTCACGTGTACGACGCGTCGCGAAGATGTTGGATACGTTCGAAATTACATCCCCGGTTCTAATTCAATTATCCGGCCGATAATCATCGCACGTCGCGCGACGGCTTGTCGAGCGACAGCGAGTGGCGTGCGGGCGGGGGATTGTCGGGTGTTAAAATGAGCGAGAACAGCGCGAAATTGCTTGGAAAGTTCGCTCGGATGGGTCAGCTGGGCGTCGAGATCAGATAAATCACGAGCGTGCTGACACATCGTTGCGAATATACGCGAATTGCCGCTTATTGATCGTAATTACATGCGTTAGTTTAACGAGCGGCAGCACATCCGCCTCTCGCCATCCGCGGAGCGTCTCGCACTTCTCGCGAATCTGCGCTTCTTTTTGCCTTTTTTCTTTTTTTTCTTCCTTCGCCTTCAATCCCTTACTTACGCGTCGAGAAGCGACGCGTCCGCGTTCGCGCGCGCGCGCGCGCGCGCGCGCGCGTATTTCATCATTGACTTCATCGCGAGAGCGCCGCGATGATATCACGCTACCAATTGTGGTAACTTGCTCCGTCACCGGGAATAATCCCCCGATAAATACGGAGTCCCCGCGGAGACCGGTAAAAGTGACAGGCGACACTCTCTTTTTCCACGCGTCGCGTCGGTTTACCTAACGCGTAAGGTATAAGTCGCGAGTTATCCGCGGGAAATTTATGTAACTTCTTCCACGATCCGTTTTCCTGTTTTTACGTAGAAATCCCTTTCCGCGTCTCATGCCGCGTATCTCTATTATACGTACGTGTTATCCACGTGGAGAATTTCCAATACGCTCGGACGTTTATTTCCTCGAGAGAGAGAGGGAGAGAGAGAGAGAGAGAGAGAGAGAGAGAGAGAGAGAGAGAGAGAGAGAGAGAGAGAGAGAGAGGGAGAGAGCGAGCAACTCGCTCCCTCATCTCGGCTATGTATTTTTTATTCAAACAAGTATCCAAGTATCGGGCGCGTATACGCGTTGTAACGCGCTGTTACGTACGCGTGTGTACGTGTGTTACAACGGACACACGGTGTGGGTATTACAATATCGTGTATATATATATACACGTCTCCCTCGCGCGCGCGCGCGCTCTTCACATTCGCTCTTACACACATTCGCGTGTACGCTCACCGGCGCACTCGTACACGCACCCACCGAACGACGGACGACGTCGTCAACGATAGCGTAGCTAAGTTGCCGCTAACAATCGTATCTTATTAAGCGAGAAGATCTGAAACATGCCTTTCCCCTATTTTCAGATCACAATAACGAGGCACAGCAGCAGCGGTAGCAGCAGCAGCAGCAGCACACACGCAGCTCAGATACCCCAGCAGCTGCCGACGTGTGAGTACACGTGTGAATACATGAGACTTACTTTCTAATTGTCCGCGAGGGCGATAACTAATTAGAGCGAATCAATTAGGCGTTAAAATCCCGCGCCCACGAGCGCGGAAAATTTGCGACGCTTCTCTCCCCTTCCTGTGCGTCACGTCTGCATTTTTTTCCTTTTCACTCCCCTTCTCCGGGGCCTGCGATGTAAACTTTGTCGTTGGCGTCGTCGTCGTCATCCTTATCCTCGTCATCATTATCATCACGAATTTTCTCCCGCGTGGAAAAATCCCGCGCGCGCGCGCCTCGAGAGGCCAAAGTGGCCGGATAATCGGATAAAAGTGGACGCTTTCGACACGATGCGCGCTTTCTAATGACGGCACGATGTACTTGATGACAATGATCCGAGGGGATACTTGAAGCAACGAAATACACAACAATTCGCCGGTAAGAGCGAAAGAGTAATTACTGGAAAGTAATCGTCCTCTCTTCGCGTACGTGCTTTCTCAAGCTTATGATCCAATAGAGAGGCTCAATTAGTTATCCGGGCTAATTGCTTGCGCGCGGACCTGGACGCGGACCTGGACCCGGAGTCGTGCGTTTTCAACACGTACGCACGGACTCGCAAACACGAGCGCGATACAGATGCTGAGATTCGAGAGAGTTCGAGTCATCGGACTCCATTTCCTCGGACTCGCGAATATCGGAAGAATCGTTCGGACAAGCCGTGATCGTGTTCAATCAGCACGCCAGCACGCCAGCGCGACAAATTATTCGCGCGCTTCTTGTTTGATTTTCTCTCTTCGTTGTTTCCCCGTTACGCGCTTTGTCGATCGCGAATTTTTCTCACGTTGACCGAGATCGCGGGCGGCTCGGCCGATCGATCGAAGCTCGATGATGGGATCGAACGAAAGGGAAAAGCGTCGTCGTGTGTACTCTCTCGGGGCACGGAAGACGTTTTTCCTTTCCAGACGAGCGACGACCTTCCTTGGAAGACATTGCTTTTGCTGGAAGGTGAACGCAGCCGTGCGACCTAGATTCTCATGTGGAAAGGAGCGAGCCGCGTTCGCGCGAGCTGAACGGAGACGGCGAGATGAGATATAAACGGCATGAAACGAGATGACGATTATAACCGGGACGGCGCGCGCGGCGACGTCCTCCTCGGCATCGACGGCGAATCGAAAGTCCCTGTAACCTGACGGCGGCGGCGGCGGCGGCGGCGGCGGCGGCAGCGGCAGCGGACACTTTCAGCCTTTTACCTCGCACGCAGTCGCGCAGGCCGCTGGAATTTCACCCATCGAGAATCGTGCGAGGAAACACGGCGCGGTTTCGTGCACGATGCACGCGCGGAGAAAAGTCGCTCGCCTTTGCTCGCGCGACGAAATTCTTCCTCGCGGATCCCGAGGACCGCGCTGTGGGATGTTTGGCCTGAAAAGCTGGCCGACAGTCAATTTTCTTAAAATCATTCTCGCTCTGCGTGAGTGACTGTCTTAGACAGTCGAATGTTGTGTCAGAATAATGGGCCGCTATGCTTTCGCTCGTCCGCGATAACATTCTTCGTGGATGGATTGTTTCGAGAAAGGTATAAAGAAACGTTTTAGGCTATATTTATTGAATTGTTATTCACGTAGATATACGATTTTGAAGAAAGCGTTCAATATCAATAATGTATCACATTGCGTTCTCGATGTCAAACTTGAAAGGTTTAGTTACACTTCAGGGTCTATCCCTGTTACGTTTCTTGGATGAGATGAAAGAGCAGTCTGTCCGGATAAAGTATCAGAAAGAATTAGCCGCGGGTGTAGTTTTAGTAATTACTTTTGTTTTCCTAAACGTAAAAAACGGTTTTGTCCAAAGACAAATTATTTAGACATGAAGTTTCCTTTCGTCTTTTTTTTGTTTCTTTCTCTTGTTTCCTTTTGTAATATGGACACAATCAACAGACTTTTATCAAGTTCTGACTCGTTACTAAGAAATATGAGCACCAAGAAAGAAATCTGAACCATTTTTAAAGGAAATATTGGATATCTTACTTCTTCTCACACTGACCCTACGCCAAGAAGAGGAGATATTTCAATAGATGAAGATGATGTTGATTCTGAGGATGGAATACGCTCATTAGGTGAAGAAATTTAGAGTTTGTCCATATTGAATACTTATTGATGCGCAATATTACGCTTCCTTGATTATTAAAATATTTTTACATATATATTTGCACTTTATTTCATGATAAACTTACGCGAAATCTTCGTAATGATCATACATATAATTAGTAGCACGTTTTAAGCCGAAATTCGTCAAAACATAATTTTGGCCAACTTTTTGGTACAAACATCCCGCCATCCCGTATTGATGGGCCGATTGGAATGTTTTTTCCTTTCCCCTAGGGGGGACCGGAGAGAGAAAGCCGCGTCGATCTCGCCTCGACGTGGAACCCGTTCGAGAAGAGGAGGTGGAAAAAATTCGACAGCGCTTGAATTTGCGAGCGAAGCGAATTTGATACCCCGGATTTTATTAGGCCATTCAGCGGAGAGGTAGACTTGAGTCGAGTAGACTCGTAATTCCAGGCGGCTATACCCGTAACGGTTGCCTAGACGTAATGAGGTGACGATTAATGAGCGAGACGAACACACGATTTTCCTCTCGACAGTGACGAATCGAAAGTCTCCGTTAAAGTCCGCGGGCGTTTTTGCTTTTTGTCGTTTGTTCCGCTGGCCTCGTCGGTCTCGTCTTCGTTGTCGGACGTAGGAAAATGAAATTGTTCCGTTCTGCCCTGATAAAAAGAAACCAAGTGCACACCAGGTGATTTCCACCGGGTGATACCGGGATTGATTCGTTTATAACTGTGTTTCTATTACCGCGTACGTGTTTATTCCGCAGCAGTTCTCAACCCGCTCGGTCCGTCTCGATGGGACGTTCAGCGCTATTCAAACTCTAGTCATTTAGGCAGCGCCCTTCGAGTACGGAGGACTAAATTTAAATTGTAAAAGTCGTTAACACTCCTGTTTGATTCTATATTTCGACCTTGTCGACGAATTCTTTTTCATTTTCTCTGCAAACATTTGCGTTTCTACGCCAACATCACAACGAGCAATCTTCGTCAGACGGTCGGCGTATTGTTTTGCATACCGCGAGCCGTTGTTTCTTCATTCACGAGGAGAAACCGCGTCTTCAAGCGTCGAAAGTATCTGTTTTTTTTCGCCATTACCTTTGCACGCAAATGCCCGTTTGCACACACACACACACACACACACACACGAGGTACCACCAGCCAATATTCCGCGCGCTATTCTTCATACACGTTATTATATGTGCGGTGCAATCACGTTTCCATATATGCGTCGATTGATCGCGCCTATTATCGCGTCGAATATTTATTCAGTTGCCCCTTGTTCCTTTATTTCTCCTCACTAAGCCGTAAAAAAAACAGAAATATGTGATTGTGTTGAAAAACAAATTATATTCCTCTTGATCTTCACGTATACACATATACATACTTACGCAAACACAATGATCTCGGGCGTCCGGTGCACGCATTGAAAACAACTCGCGGTGAAATCATCATTTTCCGCTAGAAAAGATTCCGACGTTAATTGGGCGAGGTCTTATTCGAGAGTGGCCTAAAATCACGAGGTAGAAACTACGCGAAAAGCGAGAGAAGGGGATCACGCGAATAATGCCGTCTCCAATGTCGTGGTGGCAAACGGATCTCTTTACAACGAACGTACTGGTGGAGAGTCGGTGCTCGCTTAAAATCTCTGATACTCGCTTAATCCCTGAGAAAACTTGTGTCGGATTGACACAATGGTACAGAAGCACCGCGAGGACGCGTCGCCTCGTACGTAAAAAATCCAGGACGTGCGAATCGGATTGTCCGCGTTTAACCGGCAGGTCGCACTATGGCGCGTATTTGAATACTTTTGTCCTTCTTTCTCTCGGCATCACCCGAGGAATTTTTCACACCGTCTTCACTTGTATCGGCTGACGAGTGCCGCGTCGTCGCTCGTTAACGTTGAACCACCCGTCGTCTCTATCCGTCTCTAGTTCTTTCCGATAAAAATACGTATCTGCAATTGTATAATTTCATGAAACTCTGATGATAATTTCACAATGTCGTGCGCGGAGCCTGTTGGCTCCGTCCTCCGTCGAGAGATCTCTCGAGAAACCTCGCCGGCTAATAATCGGCCATGCAAATCCAACTACGCGAGTCTACGAAACATTCGTTGATTTCTCGCGCGCGCGCGCGAAAGACACCCACGCGAGTACCTTTACTTTCGATAGACGATCGATACAAAGCTACGTGTTACAATACTGCACGTCGATCCGCCCTAATCCTTCCTCCGCGACCGCGTCGTCATTTATTCGCAATGACTTTACGGGGCAAATTATTCGCCAATGCGAATGTGTGCCGCTCGCGCGTCCTTACTCATCGCGACCGATCCTAATCACGGTCGACTGCTCGAATTAATTAAACTCGCCCAACCTCGTGTACTGTTAATTCGATGTTCAAGCAGCTAATCTACTTTGCGCGCACTCCCGACGTCGTTATCTTTCAATCTAATTTTATCATTACAACGCAGTTATGTCACGTCGGGCGATCAATCCGGACGAGCCTCGACACAGACCTGTACGTATAATGACTCCATCTTTTTCTCTTCTCGTTTCTTTCCTTTTTCTCAAAGATCGAGCCATTCGTAGGTTTTTTTTACTCGCCCAGCCTCCAGTCCCGACGTAACAAATTGGTCATTAAGTACGTTAAATACGATTAATGTCTCCCGTTCGTGGTACGTCTTTCTCGTAGCGAGAGGCATTATTCTCGAGCGTTCTCAAAGTGTTCTCAAATAATCGAAGCTACGGGCCGGAGTCGACGTGACGGGCCGAGGAATGGACGGCCGAGCGCTCGTGAAATTTTCCCAAGATGGAATTGCAATTAGCGTTTCGCGATACGTCGCTCGGCACACAGCGGCTCGCCGTAATTCGCCGATCCGGTTGTACGTTCAACTGGTTACCGTTGA